TGGTTTCTGTTGGAAAATCTTTAATGGCTTGTAGCCCCTGTGGGGTGAAGTCTAGGTGTTTTATCACAAGCCTTAAAAGTCTGGTCCTTCAAGATCTGACCCACATTCACCTCTTCATTCTCTCCCCGACTTTTCTCCAGCAATGTGGAATTTCTTACAGCTCCCCTGCTAGCACTCAGACATGTCAAAGCTGCAGGTTCAGTTATCAGGAATATCGCACCATCGCATCTGCTCTGTATCGCCCGTCTCCTTTATCAGCCTTAAGTATAATAGAGATAATACAACACTTTGAAATTCAGAAAATAGGTAAAGGTTAACATTTAAGGTGAGAAATCCAGAAGTCTTCAATGCAGGAACAAAGAGGACTCTATTTGAATTAAAGTGGTTCAGTGTGGCTTATCCATGTTCTAGCTGTTTATTTCACAGTTTTTTAAATGTAAGACTATTCACTACACTGAGAATTACAGACTTTGTATAAAATGTCTAAGCAGCTGCCATGGTTGCCGCTGACCACCTCCCTTCCCTGGGAGAAACCACTTCCACCAAAGCCCCTACTGGATGCTGGGACCGGCAGGACTTCTCACGGGATGGAGCCAGCGGGGCAACCAATAAAGAGGACCAGAGAGGGGCAATAGACAATATCGCAAAGGGGGAACCAAGCAGCTGGTGTCCAAAATAGCATTACACACACACACACACACACACGCACACACACACACACACAGAAATGGAAGGAACAGTGTTTTGGTATTGAAAAGTAAACACGTAAACATAGTGCTGTAACCCCCTAAAAACAAAGGGAAGGAACAAAGGGTGGCTGGATGTTGTTTATATAAGCATCAAAACCTCTAAAGGACACTGAAGTTCCTCTTTCCTTTTCTTTTTCTTTCTCTCTCGTTGCTGCTGCTGTCGCTGCTACTTTGAGACAGGGTCTTGCTGTGTGCCATACTGGCCTTGAACATACTGTGTCCTTTCCGGCTGACTCACAATGATCCTTCTGCGGCAGCCTCCCAGTTACTAAGATGACAGGTGTACGCCAGCAAGCCTGGCTCAGTGTGGCCTTTAAAGCTGCAGCACACAGCACAGAGCGCCCACAGAGGTTGCGTTAGCTCCTCCCCGTGCCATCGGAATGACAGTTTTTGGGCTCTCCAGGCCGCGCCCCAAGGCACTGCCTCAGCTGCTTGTTGGAACTGTGCGAAGCTGAGGATGCAGCCAGGGGTTGCAGAGCTCAGTGAGGCCCTGGGCCCACAGCGAAGGAAACAGAAAAAACCTGTGTGTAAGGGCCCTGGGTCTGAGAGCCACCTCCGTTACTGATATTTTGGCAGTTTTAGCACTTCTTAAATTCACAGTCTAGAGAGCAGAGCTGCTGGCTAAGAAAGTTGAATAGCTCTGTAAAAAGATAGTATACATTATTATAAAAGTTACATTTTATTTATCTCCCTTTACAAAAAGAGGATAGAAAACCTATTGTACACTAGAATTCATACCATTTCTGAATAAAAATCACAGATTTCTACCTGAACTTATCAGGGAAAAGACTAAGGCAGATGCCAGCAAGTGACTGTGCCACACTACCTGTGTCTTAGGAACTATTCTTATGCTTCTTTTACCCCCTGATTTCTCTCGTATTTCTACAAGCGTTAATGTTCTCCAGTTAGCAGGCACGAGACACTGAAGAACATGCGCTCATTCATCTGCACAGGTGTCACTTTATTCACATTTGAAACTGAGTGTCGGTCACCAGTGATGACGTGTGAGTAAAAGAGGACTGACCCAGACATCACAGAGCTCACCAACATCTAGGTGCTTTCAAGTGCCACATGCAGGAGTAAGACGTAAACTAAAAAAAGTTCACCACTTAGTCTTCTCTTCCTCTCCTCCCCTTTCCTTCTTCAGGGCAAAGATGAGCCAGGCAAAGATGATCTTGTCTGATGCAAGATTAATTCAAGCATTTTTCCTCTTCTTGGTATTCTATTGTAATTGAAATATCTTCCTTTTCCTTTCCACTCAGTCAGACTCATTCTTGGCTGGGAACTTTGTTTTATTTTGTTTTTGGTACCAGGGATCAAACTCAAGATCTTGTGCTTGCGAGGCAGGTGCTTGCGCTCTAGCTTAGAACTTTGAAAAACAGCAAACTCACATAATCCTTGAGAACACAAGACCTGACGTCTCCCTTAGTTCTTATAGTTTGTTTTTGCTTTTTGAGTCAGGGTCTCACCGTGTAGTTCAGGCTGGCCTTGAACTTGAAGCAGTCCTCCTGCTCAGACCTTAGATCTTATTCTTTCACTTGGATGAAAACTAGACTTAGCTTGACTAAATGAAGGTGAGTTCTAGGCCCTTTCTCATTATCCGTGTGCTGAGAACCCCTGAGAGATGCAGCAGCCCTGGCTTTTGACACCTCTAGTCTTGATCATGGCTGGGAGGGAGCTGCTCCAGGCAGGAAGACACTGAGCCGAAGAGCTGTGGTAACAGGCAGAGCCCAGCAAGGCAGAAAGGTGCATGCTTCTCGTCCAAGGCAAGTGCTAGAGTACAAAGTTTTATTCTAAAGGAACAGGCAATATCACTATTTCAAAAATAATTGTGAACAATGACTTACTGTAAGAAATTAAACAATTTTAATTTTTGCAAAACCATCATGTATACTTACAACCTTCTTTATAGCTTCATCTTTTGATTTATTCTTTTTTTTTTTTTAAGCCAGTCAAATTTAGCAGTGGGGGGGTGGTATACCAACTTTAGTGACACTAATATTAATAAGTTCTGATACCCATTGCCATCGGACCAGACTTTGATTTATTCTTGATGAGGAGAAAATTTCCTCTCAACAGGTATTTGTAAGTAGAATTTGTTTTCTTGTATTTATATGTGATAACTGCACTGACACAGTTTCATGGCCATGGTTCCTTGTGGAGCCTAAAGTACTGTTTAATTATTCACTACTTCATGATAAAATACTTTTGAACTACTGGTTCTTATTTACATAAGAAAAATATTGAACCCAGGGCTTTCACACTGAGCTACATCTCAACCCTCTTCACTTTTCTGTTTTGAAAGAGGGTTCTCACTAAGCTCCTTGCGCTATAATCAAATTTGTGATCCTCCTGCCTAAGCCTCCTGAGTAGCTGGGACTACTGGAATGGGCCACCATTCTCAGCTAAAAATACCTTCTTATTAAGAATTCATTAAATGTATGGTACAACCTTAATGTTTGCCAATTTTGTGGCTGATAGGTTGGTTCTGTTACAGTTGATAGGCTGATTCTGTTTTTAGAAATAACTTTTGAGTTAAAGTCAGTGACTGGTTCAGTGGCACAGGGTCTGCCTGGCAAACGCGAGGTCCTAAGTTCAATGCCCAGTAGGAAGGATGAAGGACAGCACAATCAGTTCCCATTTGAAGAATTTCTTTCACATATCTTGGGTGCAGCAGTCTTTCTGAATTCTGTAAGGTTATAAGGAAATACTCAAATGAGGTTCAGTGTGAGGAGAAAGTATTGTGAATCCAGAGTGCAGGCAGAGGGGCTAGCCAGCCTGGCGTAACCATTTTGTTTTCTGCACTGGTGGTCCTGTATGAAATGATGCTTGGGCTGCTGGACTTTTGAGTTACTTTTGTGTTTCTTTTCCTTTCTATGATTGAACTCATTGAGGGCTTAAAATCTTGTAAAAGCTAGATTTTAAAATTTACCCAGTGAGAAAACTGCCATCTCTCAGTTTGAGAATTAAGTGATGATCTCTTTTAACTGGATAGTGATGATTAACTTCACAAATTGCTGATTTTGGAGAACTTTGATTTAAGTTCCTTTATAGTTAATAACATTGAAGGTATTTCAGTTATAAATCATTCTGAGTGAATGTCCTAAGAGAAAAAGCAAAAAAGAGAAGACTTTTACTCCCTTTCCCTGATTGCCTTATGGTATTTTATTGTATATTTTAATGGACCACATGTTTATTGATCCTGGCTGTGATATTAGGTATTAAAATTCTTAAAGGATAACATAATTTAAAAGCGCCTGTTGTCCTTTGGACACTGAAAAATCAATATTTATTGCCTGAAAATTGCCTTTCCTTTCAGTGTGGCTTTAAAAAGATAAGAATCTGAATTGTTCAAGAAAAGCAAATGAGAAAAGCAGGGTAGTAGGACAAGACTGGCTGATGGGGTACAGGGCAAGATAAAAGTCACAGAAATAGCCAGGGATGTAGCTCAGTAGTATAAACGTGTGCCTGGCAAGAGCAAGGTCCTTGAGTTGGGTTCCCAGTACCCCCACCCCCCTCAAAAAGTCACAGGGCTTACTTCATTGCATTTAAAATTTTTGTAAAGCACAGTGCCATTTGAAATCTGTGACTTTGTAATCCCTGCTTTCAATTCGTTCAACAATATTTCTGTGTAATACATTTGTCATTATTGTGTTAACTGCCACCACATTGCTATGCACCATATTGTATTTCTATAGCTAAAAACAAAAGCAGCGAATGAAATGAAAGCCCGGGGCCAGGGATTTAGCTCAGCAGTGTAAGCACCTGCCTGGTAAATACAAGGTTGTGAGTTCAATCCCCGGTACCACAAAAAAATAAAAATAAAAATGTACCTACAGCCATCTGGTTTTAAAAAAGAAAAAGAAATGAAAGCTCAGCTCTCACTCGGTCTTTTCCTCCTGGCCAATCTCTGTCTTCGTGGTCCTGAGGCAGCATGGAAATGGGATGAGGGTCAACATTGTGTGTCTTCATCACTGGCCCAAATCACTTGGCCACAGTCTGATTACACCACCGGGTCTGACTCACCCACCCAGTGTTAGCCCAGCTTGGCCCTGAGAACTGGATTCAATCCACAAAGCCTGAAAAAGAAGGGAGAAAAACCTTAAAAAATCTGGCATCGTATGATTTTTGAGAAAATTAAGATTGCCCAGCTTCAGTAAAATTTTATTCCCTTAGATTTATAGATGTGAAGACAACAAGGTGTGACTTTCTGTTTACTACACTGTGCTTTCATTTATTTTCTCTTTGTAGCCCGAGGAAGAACTTGATCCTGAAGAGAGGGACAATTTCCTCCAACAGCTTTATAAGTTTATGGAAGACAGAGGTATTTAAAGTTCATTTCTTGTGTAATCTTTCAGTCTAGATGCATGCATTATTGTTAATATTGTGGATGTGTTGTGTTTCAGTTAAAGCCTAAGGGCCACTTCCATCTGATAATTACTATGTTTTTAAAATACAAATAAACCTAGTGTCTGTTTTGAGTACAGATATGGATAAAAGCAGTTTTGGTGTAATGAAACTTAGTCTCCCTGGATCATGTAAAGCCAATAAATAATATTCAGAAATAGAAAACGGCCAGTGACAGTGTTAATTTGCATACGTACTTATTACTAAATATTTATGGCAAGTAAACTAGCCTAATCCTTGGTCTCTACAAATTAAACATAATAGGAGATCAATCTTTTTCTAAATAGGATATGTTTCTATAGAGATGAGAGAAATAGAACCATTATAACTTTTAAGATTGCTTGACATTTGTTAGTCCTAGAAAATCTTCAGATAAATTGGTTCTGCACATTCTGTGGCTATCAAAAATCATCCTTCAGATTAATGCCAACAGCTCTAGCATTTATATTACAGCAATGAGAATGAACTGCATTCTAAAACTTAAAATTATGTCTTCTACAATTTTCCATTATGTTTGTACCTAAGTGAACCTCAGCATTATGGGCCATAGCTTGCAGTCTAAAGCTTCAGTTGGTTCCACCTACTCTGCTGGTGGAGAGGTGATTTTATTAGTGGTAGAAATATAATACACAGACATGCCCACACACAAAGCTGCATAATGCCTGTAAAGAATATTTATGTTCTCTTACATCATTAAATGTTCTTCAGATATGTCCCTTCAATTAAAGAAATTTGGGTGACTAGAAATCTATAGCTTTCTTTTGAGTTTGTGTTTCCCATATGAATAAACATTTTATTTTTACCCTGTGGTATTAAAAAGGTACTCCAATCAACAAACCACCTGTTTTGGGCTACAAAGATCTCAATCTCTTCAAACTTTTTAGACTGGTTTACCATCAGGGTGGATGTGACAATGTAAGTATAACATTGCTCTTTGAAAAATGTATGTGTGAACCTACTCTTTGAATGTTGCGTTGTCATGTGCACCTTAATTAATAGTATATTTTGTTAAAGAATGTAGACTATTAGTGTAGAAGATTACCCTTCGCAAATGTTAACAAACAGAAACTTAATTTTCCAGATCGATAGTGGTGCTGTATGGAAGCAAATTTATATGGACCTTGGCATTCCAATTTTGAATTCAGCTGCTTCCTACAATGTAAAAACTGCCTATAGAAAGTAAGTAATGTAATTTATTAAAGTATTTGCAGAAAACATTTTGCTTTTTATTTGTAAAAATTAAACTAGTATATTAGTCAACTTTCCCATTGCCAGGACAAGTACCTGATACACAGGGTGAAAAAGAAGAGAAGTTTATTTTGGCTCATGGTTCCTGAGGTTTCAATCCATGGTAGGCTGGATCCAAGGAGGAAACATCAGAGTGAAAGGCATGGCAGAAGATAGTGCCTGCCTTGTACCTAGAAACAGAAAGGAACAGGCCAGAGACCATAGTCCCCAAAGTCATGCCACCGTGACACATTTCCTCCAGCCAGCCTGCAACTCCAGATAGCCCATGTAGCTGCAAGGTAGCCCATCAATGAGGTTAGTGCCTTTAGCATCCACTCAGCACTACAGGAGTCTCTCAGTCTAATCGACAGGATTAACTGACACAAGAAGTATGCATCAACAAACACACACAAATGTTAGATAAAATTATAGAAAAGCTTAGGAAAATCAGGATGTGTTGTTAAATCCATTACTCTGTTTTTGAGCAAACAATTTTCAAGTCAGAACTGTGATTGCTGTGTTTTGCTGTCAAGAGTTTAGGTTTCTCAGGAAGGCATTTCCATTTATGGTTGGTATTTCCGTTTATAGTTCTGTTGAGACACCCAGAACTTACTAAGATGGAAAAACCACTTTTCAAGAAATGACCCAGAGTCTTCTTTTTTGAGATCTTGTGTGTTCAGTAATAATATTCAACTTTAATGGAAAGATCAAGACTTACTAAAATGAGGTGTTGTTTATTTAGGTATCTCTATGGTTTTGAAGAATACTGCCGTTCTGCAAATATTCGATTTAGAACCATTCATCACCATGAACCAAAAGTAAAAGTGGAAAAACAAGACTTCGACCAATCAATGGCAGAGGCCCTAAAAGTCGATCCAGAAATGCCGTCCGTAGAAGTAAAGAGTGAGCTGGAGGAAAATACTGATTCAAATAGTGAGAGTGAAAGAGAAGAGATCGAATTAAAATCTCCAAGGGTGAGTATTAAGAGTAATTTTGTCTGCTTTAGTTAAGCACTGTTTTTAAACTTTTATTGTGTGACATTTTCAGATAGACACAAAAGTGCTACAGTGCACCCCGTTTATTTCACAGAATTTAGTTATGCTTCAGGCAGACTATAGGTTAGCTGTTCCTAAATATATCCCACATTATTCCCTGTACTCAAAAAGCCCTTGTCTTGTTTTGCCATGTCTGTTCATTCTTGTCTTTAATCAATCAAGAAAATTCCCCTCCAAGTCTTCTGCTTAAATGTCATCTTGTTAAATCTTATATTGGCCACCTTATCCAAAAATGTAGCCTATTTCCTCTCTTGGGCATTCTCAGTCCTGCTAATATGGCTCTTGTCTATACTTTGCTTATGTGTTATTAGGGTTTTTTGGTCTCTTTCCCACATTCTGTGCTGTATCATACTCCATAAGCGTAGGGATGTGTGTGGGTGTGTGTATGTGTGTGTACACTCGCACATACAAGTGTTCAGTGCTGGGGATGGAACCCAGGACCTTCACACTAAGCTAAATCCCAGCCCACCCTCCATGCTTTTGAAACAGTTTGCCCTAGCTGCACTCAAACTTGCAATTGTCCTGGCTCAGCCTCCCAGAGGAAGGCTGGAATTACAGGATTACAGGCCTGCACCACCACACCCAGCTTATGTGCTGTTTTTCCTTGACAAATCCCAGGCACCTAAGTAATGCCTGGCACATGGAAGTACCATCAAGAGCAATAGGATCTGTGGCACAGTCACGTAGATCTGTCTTCCCTCTGTGCCTTCACAGCACTGTGGGCAGCGCTGCTCATGTGCACGCTGCCTTCATCTTCCAATCTTCATCTTCGGTTAACGGAAGATCTATGAAAGAGACGGCTGTTTTTCAGTGAAGTCAAATTTAGTGGAAGAGGTGAGATCACCTTCTGTTATTAGTTGTCCAGAAACTGTTTTCACACTGACCATTCTGATTGTCTTCTTATAAGTGAAATCTTCTAGTGAATTTCATGAAATGTCCAAACCAGTGTTTTTTTTTTCCTTTCAGCTTTTAACTTTATTTTCTAAATTGTGGTAAAATAAACATAACATACAGGTTAGCATCTTAGCCACATAAGGCCAGTCTGTTGGCACCATGCATTGTGCGACTCACCTCTCTCTCACATCCAGCTCCAGGATAGTCTCATCTCGAAAAACTGAGATCTTGCCTTTTGAACAGCAGCCCTTTCTTCCTCCTTCCCTCCACCCTTCACCACCACCCATGTCCATGCTTCCCATGTCCATGAGTCTGATGCATAATATTTGTTATTTCACTCACCATAATGTCTTCAGGGTTCATCCATGTGGCAGACTTTCCTTCCCTCTTAAAGATGAATGATATTGTATATCTTGTGGACATACTTTCTTGTATCTCAGAAAGAGCTTTCTCATCCTACTAAGATGCTACATTGTACTGTCTGGTATCAATAAATCTATCTTCACCAAGACTTTCTCTTACTTTCTACTACTACCAAAAGTACTGTTGCTGGGCATGGTGGCACATGCATGTAATCTCATCGCTTGGGAGGCTGCGGCAGGATTGCTGTGAATCTGAGGTCAGCTGGGGCTACATGGCCAGACTGAGTAGTGTGGTACATCCATGTGTCAAAGTATCCTCTTCATTTATCTGAATATAGAAGCCAGACTTCTGAAAATGAAGTCTGTGGGACAAAAGTACACAGAATTTGATAGGTACCAGTTTTTGTCATTGATTTACCTAACACACGGGTACTGGTCACTGTCTCGACATGAGGATACCGCAGTGGAGCAGTAGAAAAAATTTCTTCTCTTTTTGCCTTTAAAGTATAAATCACACCCAATAACTAGGGAAGAGTTTGCTTGTTGAGATATCAGTAATGAAGTATTCTCTTGTCCCTTGTGTGACCATCTCTTTTCTTTCAGTTGCTGTTTTCCCTGTGCTGTTGTGCAGGGACACTCTTGACAGAGAGAAAGCACCTAAAGGTTCCCAGCTTTGTGGGCAGCACAAGGCATTCCCGCGCCCCCACGCACCTGCAGAGACTCACTCAGATCCGCTCTCTGTTTTACTAAAATATGGTTACACACAAATACAGTGACAATGTGAAGTATATGTTAATAAACAGTAGATTGAGACCTCCCAGAGCTTTCCTGGAGGCCAGGGCTTACAGAATTGATGGTACTACTGTCGACCTTTTGTCATTAGCCTTTAGGGAATTCATTTGAAATCTTTACTGTAATCAAGAAGTACCAAAAACAGTATAACAAGGAGACTGATTTGCTATATCCTCAGACCCAGGAGGAAATTTCTATTTTTTGTATACTTTGTAGCAGGAGTCTTGATAGGTCTGGACATAATTAATGATAAAGATAAATTCTTTCAAAAAGAAGAAAAAGTACTCATGAATTGATTGGCTTATCTCAAGCCAGAGACCAGATTGGACATTGTTGTAAAGACTTAAAGGAAAGATGTGTTTTTCTGTTTTTTTGTTTCTTTTTTTTTTGTCTCTTGACAGTAATGACTATTATCAAGTTTTTCTCTCCTCTCCTAGGGCCGAAGGAGAATTGCTCGAGATGTGAATTCTATTAAAAAAGAAATTGAAGAAGAGAAAACAGAAGACAAATTAAAAGATAATGACACAGAAAATAAAGATGGAGATGACGACTATGAAACTGCAGAGAAAGAAGAAAACGGGCTAATACTGGGGAGAAAAAACACACCAAAGCCAAAAGAGAAGAAAGTCAGAAAGCAAGAGGGCTCCGACCGAGACTCAGAGGGCGAGGAAGAGAAGAGCCACGAGAGGTACTTTATCTTACGTTTGTTCTCCAGAAGCACCTGTCTCGGGTTCGACAGCGCTTCGCTCCTGCTAGAGATTCAGGGTTGAGGGAACATTTTCTTATTGGGACTTCCGTTCCTCTTGTCTAATGAAGGTGAGACACATTGTGAAGATGATGTGTATTGCCTTCCGGAATTGGAGAATACCCCGGTCGCACCATTTTAATAGCACTTGTGCCCTAAACAGTGGCCTCAAAGAAGGCTGCGCCACCCAGTCAAAAGAAAGGTCCTGCAGTTGACAGCAGGGAAGGGAGCTGGAGAAAAATGGAGGAAGTGGACAAGAGGAAACAGCGACAGCAAAAATTCCATTTTAAAAAAGGTACAATGTGGGAAAGCTAACAGACACGGGTGCACAGTACTAGCAGATGTTTCTGTGTGTTAGCTTTGATCTGAGACAGTTTTCCTTTTCAAGTTACTGTGTTAGAGTAAGTGGCATGCACCCCTGATTCAAGTTTATAAAAAACATTCTTGCCCCACATCTCACCAGTAAATTTTGGCTTTTTAATGTCCATCCTGTTTGCTGTTGAGTGAAAATGGTTTTTCCACATACTGGACATATATGGACTAAACTGACTTCAAAATAGCTCAAGGCCAGGCAGGCCAGCAGTGTGATGTCTGACCATGCTTGTCGGTAGCCATTCTGTAAATGTCAATGGATTTACTAATTTTTAGATAATACTAAAAGTCAAATATTAAATGAGGAATAACAGTATAACACTTATTTGAATTGTAAGCTCTCCTTGTAGACACTTTGTATTCTATTATGCAAGGCTAAATTGTCTCAAAGTTGAATTGGGAAACTGCCTTTGGGAAAAGTGACCTCCTGATTGATGCAGTCTGAAACCTAACTATGGAGAGAGAGATATTTAGATAAACAGGAACTGGTGAGCAGGATAGGTGATTAGTTTCTGTGTGAACAGGTACACCTCAGTGACATGCAAAATACCATAGTAAAGAGATGAAAATTCTGCAGTGCAGTGTAACTAGGGTTAAGAGTAGGAGACAGTAATTGGAGCTGAGCATTACACAAAATGGATCCATCCATATGAATAATATGTGGCCATGAAAGGACTTTATAACTGATGTGCAAAGGGAACAAAGATGTGCTTTAGTGAAAAATTTGTAGATGAGTATGAAGAATAATATCCTGTTTTTATTAAATAACAACTGGGTATGCAGGCAACAAATACAGTCCATATTCTTATTCCATATCAGGAATCACAGAAAAGGGGGACCTTTTTTTCTCATAGTGTTTTGAAATTACATCTCCAGGCAATTAATTAAAAGGTGTACTGAGTGAGAATACATTCCCATTGTAAATCAGCTGCCAAAGCTTGTTGGAGTTGTGTCCTCTGAAAATCACAAATTTAATGCTCTGTATTTATTATGGAGCACAGTAACTCTTAGGCTTCTAAAACTTATAATTCTAGCACTCTGGGAGGCTGGAGCAGGAGCATTGCAAATTTAAGAGTGCAGCCTAAGCATCTTACCAAGACCCTGTCTGAAAAAATTTGAAGGAAGGGATGGCGGTGTAGCTCAGTGTGAATGCCCTGGGTTAAATCCTTACTGTCATGCAAAAACCAACCAGCCTTGTAACATTTGGGTGGTTTTTAATGCAGTTGACTTCTGAATACCTGCAGGGCTAATTGAGACACACACACCAGGATTGAACCTAAGGCCTTGGGCTATTTAGGAACTCTACCATGAGTCACAGGCCACCTGGAGAACGTTTTATGATAAAAATATTTAAAATATTGTTGGACTTCCTATCTGAATCTCCCTTATGTCTGATTATCAAATCAAAGATGTGATGGGAAGAGAATGATAAAATAGAAATCAACCCAAAATATATATAGCTTTGTCCTCCTTGTTCTATTCAGTGTCAAGAAGGGTCCTCATATTTAAACATTTATTTGTTTCTGCATTAATGTGGGTAAAACCGCTAAAATATAAGTTAGCCAAAGACGTAATTATTAAGGTAAATAGCCCTTGTTCATATTTTGAACTGAAGCTACCAGGCTTACTAGGCACGATTCTAAAAGGGGCAGAATGTAATAATCAAGTAGATTTAAGCTAATTTTATTGCAGGAAGTTGTGCAGTACCTTTACATCATTTTCACATGCCAGAGGCACTTCAGTATCAATCTAGAGCATATTGTTTCTGTTGTACTGTATCAAAAGTGACTTGTTTGGCTCCATTCGTCATCAACTGTGGTTATTGATTGGTCTTTAAGAATATGGATTTACTTTTGGTACAGTGCATAATAAATTCCTAAGGAGTCCATAAAAATCTTCTCCTTCTCCTCCTTCTTCTCCTCCTCCACTGACATGTTATTAAGGTAAAGCTTAGGTTGTGAATATTTTGTACTTTGGGTTCTTTTTAGCGTATATCAATTTGTGTCTATTATTAGTAGCATTATCAGTGTTATGACTTACTGCAGGGAAGAAACCGAGAGCAAGTGTGACTCTGAAGGGGAGGAAGATGAGGAAGACACGGAACCCTGTCTAACAGGAACCAAAGTAAAAGTAAAATATGGACGAGGAAAAACTCAGAAAATTTACGAAGCCAGCATTAAAAGCACTGAAATCGATGATGGAGAAGTTTTATACCTGGTGCATTATTATGGCTGGAATGTCAGGTAAGCAAGAAAGTATTTCCTGAAATGGTGGCGTTTCAAAAAGATGAGTTTAGGGTTGTGACGAGCTAGAGTAAATGTGGTGTAGCTGTGCGTGGGGATCAACAGAGCTGCCCTGAGCCCTTGACATTCACACTGCTTTCCACACTGGCTTTGTAATTTTTTTTTGGTCTTTTTCCTTTATATTGGTACCAGGGATCGAACTCACGACCACCTGCTTGCAAGGCAGGCGCTTATGCCGCTCAGCTAAATCCCCAGCCCCTCCACACTGGCTTTGTACTGTCCACAAGGGACAGGTCAGGGTCCCATGAAGGTACCACAGTGTGTTCCGGGTGTCACACCTGTAGCACTCAGCTAGGCAGACATCGTGTGACTTACCTGAAATCAAGCAGTGCCAAGCATAGTAATAATGCTGATTCGGTTAATTAGCTAACAAGAAGGAATGCTAGAAAGAGCAGCACTGTGAGCTTCTGCTGGGGAGCTTTGGGCCTGATCAGTGGAAATGAGACTTCACTCATACTGGGTGCTATCAGGAAACTGAACTAATTATGTGATTAGTTTTCTTAATAAATCTTACCAGAAGGAGTAGAAAAGCCTAGGTCAAAGTTAACACGTTAACTAGTGAAGGAGTAGCAGTGGCTGATTAGGGGGAAAAGCTCTTAGACATTTTGGTGGCTTGGATATGCTTCTGTTTCTTTTCCCTGTTTCCAGACCTGATTAGGGAGTAATCCTTTTTTTAAGCAGTGCTGAGAAGTGAAGCTAGGGGCACTCTGCTACTGAGCTCTATCCCTAAGCCCTATTTCCACTCTTGCTTTTTGTTCCTGTTTGTTTGTTTTTAGAGACAGTCTCCTTGTGTAGTTCAGACTGGCCTTGAACTCACTTGGTAGTCCAGGCTGGCCTCCCAAGTGCTAGAATCACAGGCATGTACTACCACACCTACTTTGTTTTGTGTTTTGTTCTGTTTTGTTTTGTTTTGTTTTTTTCCAAATCCATTTTAGACAGAGGCACAGAGCCGACTTGTGTGATCTTACTGAGTTCTGTGAAATCGAAGCGCTCACAGCAACACCAATGCCCAGTGTCTTACTTTCTCATTGCTAGGAGAAAATGTCCAACTCCTACAAACAGAAGCAGCAGAGGTTTATTTTGGCTTTCAGTTTGTAGCAGTTTGAGCCCACAGTCAGGGGCTCCAGGTAAGGCAGCATGGCAGAGGAGTCTTGTGGAGAGAGATGAAGGGATGAGGAGGGAGATGGATCCTTCCAGGCCACACCCCCAGTGACCACCTCCTCCCACCAGGGTCTGTCTCTCAAGTCACAGTTCACTCTATAGTCCTGAGCATCACACCCCGTGAGCCAGTCACCTCCCAAAACCCCACTTACAAGCCCATGAGGCTTTGGGAGACATCGAGACAACCATATCCCCGCCCTGTTGCTCAGTCAGTTCCTGAAAGTCAGGGCCGCGTTCTTCTCTCCGTTAAGAGAACTGTGTGAGGTAGAGCCTGTCTACCCATTCTGCTCCTGGGTTTCCCTACAAACGAGATGTGTGTTTCATGATGCCTCAGTTTCCTCCTCACTGAATTGGAGAAAATAAAATGCCTGTTTGTAGGAAAGTTGGAAAATAAAGGTAATGCCAATATTAGCTTGTAAAGAGCTTTGGATACTCCCTGGCCCTTACTAGCTCAGTGACTGATAACTGTTTGTTTTGTTTTGTTTTTTAATTTGGCCTGATTTTAAAGGACATGGGCTTAATGAATTGAATGCATATTTTAAAATTTCTTTTCACCATGTGTTGCTGAATTCAGAGAGAAAGGACTACTCACCAGCGCCAGGTCACGCTTTGCAGTCGTAGCACTTTGTGGCCACCCTCCCTCCTCAGATTTTATCCAGGCCTTTAATATTTGTGTGCCTCAGTTCTGCTTTCTAGTTGTTTTCCTTCCTGCCTGCCTTGCTTGGCTTTTCTTTTTATTGTTTTTGTGACTCAGATCAGTATTTGCTTGTGTTGTTTAGGTTCTTGTCCTCATGAGGCCCTCTGCTGGTTTCTCAGAGTACTGATGTGTCCCTGAAAGCACGTGCACCTGAAAGGTCTGGTTCTGGCCTGCTTGTGGAGATACAGCCCTTATTGTCCCCGGTTCTGAATGTGAGGGACATCCTGATCTTTGGTTGAGTGGGGCTGCCATTGATGCCAGCAGTACCCCCATGACTTGGTCTGGGCGAGCATGGTCTGGACCAAGTTACCTGAAATCAGTCCTGGGCCTGTGAGATTCTGGAATTAAACAGTTAACTCTTCATTACCTCTGAATCAGTGTGTAACTCTTACTGCTTTTACCAGACTGTAGTTGGTTTTCTGACGTTTGTTTTTGTATGAGACCAGGTTGCATGGGATCTAGGCCTTGTTCTGTGTGCCCTGCATGTTTTCTGCAGCATCTGGCATGTTATAGGTCCTCTTAAATGCCAAGTGACCACTCTTACCAAATAAAGTACAGATGGATACCTAAGTCTGCGTAGTGCTCACAGCCAGTCCTGTTTCATAAGTTTTACATATTAAAAACAGGGGGGGAAAAAAACCCAACTTTTAGATATCAGACTAATCCCAAGGATTGATATCTATACTATGGTTTGAAAATCAAATCATTTTCACCTACTTAGGTGAAAACATGTAAAAATTGAAACCATGTCCTTACTTTGCACATTTCCATACTATCTGTTTGTAAAGTGAAGTTAAGGTTCCTCGACCTGTGAGTTTATTAGCATGGTACAGCTTAATGTGAAGACTGCCTGTAGTTCTAATACTTAAATATTCAGATCTTAGATTTTGATTGAATGCTATGTATTCCTGTACAAATATGTAGAAAGAAATGTGATTTAGAGCTGGGCTTGGTGGTGCCCATAATTCCAGCACTCTGGTGGCTGAAGCAGGAGTGTTGCTGCAGGAGTTTGAAGCCAGTATGAGTTATATAGTGGGCCTCAGTTTCAAAGCCTGCCCCCAAAATGATTCATTCCTAGTATTTCTAGAAAATTTAATTACTTAGCTTTGGCTGGGTAAGTTGAAATCCCAGAGCAACGTCAATCTTGGAAAAAGGTGCAGAAGAAATGAGTCTTCAGCTTGAGCTAAACATAACAAACTTACATAAAGAAAATCATGTGTCTCTTAAAAAGTTTAGGGCCTGAAAAGTGGTGCAGTTTGGAACAAAATTTTTATTAGAAATACTGGAAGCTTGAGAGAGTTCTTGGGAGGAAAAGAATTTATAGGATTTGATGAAGTAATCTGAAACTAATCATGTCCACAAATTTGCATTTATCTAATTTGTATTAGTTACTAATAGAACAAATGCCAGTACAGAATTTGTTGCTAATGTCAGATCTGTGGAAATTACAAAGAAATGCAGATAACTTAGACTCTACCTGGAGTTAGTGACCCACCCCACGCTCTCAACCTTTGAAACGGTCTCACGCCTTCCTGTGGAAGGTAGAATCGGTCCTGGGACACCAGCCTATGCCTTTCTTAGCCCTATCAGTGCTGGAAACGAACCATTTATCTCACTGCTGATTTTATTGTTGAATATATTCCAAACCAGATATCACTGTGAAATGGTAAATTTCTGTTTTTAAGGTATGATGAGTGGGTGAAGGCTGACAGGATCATCTGGCCTTTGGACAAAGGTGGACCAAAGAAGAAACAAAAGAAGAAAGCTAAGGTATTTTTATAGGTTCATACATTAGAATGATTTGAGTTGTATCTTTCCTTAAAGGCATTGTTTTCTTTTAGAGCAGTTAAAGGTTCACAGCAAAACTGAGAAGAAAGGGGCTGGGGATTTAGCTCAGCGGCATAAGCTCCTGCCTTGCAAGCAGGCAGTCGTGAGTTCGATCCCCGGTACCAATAAAAAGGAAAAAGACAAAAAAAAAAAACTGAGAAGAAGGTACAGAGATTTCCCAAACAGAGCCCCTGCCACGCCACCAGAGCACAGTCATGACCCTGTGTGACCACAGGATTTCCGTTGGCCAGTGAATACCAAAGGGGCCACACAGCTCCAGGGAAGGCAGATAAGCAGGGTCGTGTAACCAGTGTCCTGTCCTACAGTTAGATCCCAGATACCCTGTGCTTAGCCAGACCCCTCCCTTACCTGGACTTCACCAGGGCTGACTCTGCCCTGTGCAGAGTCCCACCTTTTCTGGAGTGCCGGGCACACAGTCATACAGCAGAGAGCTTTTCAGATCGGCTGCCTTCATTCAGAAGTATGCTAAGGTGTTCTGTTTTGTTAATTATTATTATTAAACCTTACATTCTCATTTCTTTGCTATAACCCAGGTGCTAATAAACTAAACATGTTAAATTCAGGCCCACGTTGTTTGATGGAGAGGTGGCAGCCAGTAATTGCTGTGGCCTGGGCCTCCGACTCACACCTGTGAGTCTCTTTCCTGCAGGAGGTTGGAGCCTGGCTGAGGAGGACACAGAGCTCAAGGGCCTCACTGGCGGTTGGAAGTCACAGCTCTGTTGTGGAGCTGGCTGCTACCCAAGGTTGAAGGGAACCACCAATTTTTTCAGAAATGTGAAATCTGATTTTTAAATGGGAGCAAATCGTAAAATTGTGAGCATGTGTGCTGGGCAATTGAGCCCATCCCCATTCGTTCAGTCTTCAGTCTTTGCGCTGGGGCCTGCCTTGTTTGTCTTTGAATCTCCATGTCCAAGGCAGCCGGGAAGGCCTGGCTGTGGGACAGCATGAGGTAACTGTGATGTCACAGGCTGCACGGAAGCAGGGTCCTCCGCCTGGGTCAGAAGAGGCCACTTAACTGTTCTTCAAGCACAAGTGAGGAGTCAACAGATAACTTTTTGTTTGTTTTTGTAGATTTCCTAGGAGAAGGAGACTATTTTCGTCAAGCGTTGGCTCTTCTCATGCATTTCTTTGTTGTTCCGCAGAATAAAGAGGACAGCGAGAAGGAGGACAGGCGGGATGAAGAGAGGCAGAGGACCAAGCGGGGCCGACCTCCCTCTCGTCCCACTCTCCCCTCTGGCCTGCCATTTGGGCTGTCCAGGACGGCCAACAGTGAAGGAAAATCAGGTACTGGGGTGGGAAGAGATCAAGTTTGAGGGCCACTGAATAGTTGAAAAGTCAAAGCTGTTTCTGTAGTCTTGCTTCACGTACCAGCGGGGCTGCCTTCTGAGAAATACGTGGTCCTTGTGCAGATGTGTGGGAGTGTCCTCCTGCCAAGTGTGTGGCCACCACACTGAGGCCGTGGCACCTAGAAGGTGACTGTCCATGTGTGCACTGTTGCAGACCAAAGCCTTACATTGTAGCAGCTGACTAAAACTGCCATTGTGCAAAAGCCTCTTAATTCACCCAGATTTCCTCTCTTATGATTCATACCGCAGAACTTAATTAGAAGCTAAAGCTTATTGTGCTGTATTTTTTGTTTAAAATTTAGGGATGCTTTAATCTTGAATGCCTTTTCTTGTGTAACTATCTCAGAAGTATTCCGTTTTAACAAGGGCAGATCACTCCTCAAACTCCCTGCCAGGTGCGTTTTCCCGTGAGGCATGGCCCAGGGTCTCCTTCAAAGCTGCATAGCTGCCAGCCAAGCTCACAGCAGAGGCATTGTTTTGTGATGAGTACAGGTGAAAATACTTCACTCTGCTTTTATGATTTTCTGCCTTTGCAATTTAATGCATTCTAAGTGCTTGTCTTACACAGCATCTCTTTCCTCAAGAGAGATGCATCTTTTCTCTTTACCACTATGTGCTGCAGTGTGGTCATAACACACATGCATGCGTGTCCACCAAGTGAAAGATACTCTCTTAGGTGGCATGTTCCTGTGCAGTGTACGACCTACACAACTAAACATTGCATCCTTACTAAACTACCCCATGGATGGGCCAGGGGTTTAGCTCAGTGACAGAAGCACTTGCCTAGTAACTGCAAGGTTGTGAGTTCAATCCCCAGCACCAAAAAAAAGGTGTATTAAACTGATCCATTAAAAAAAAAATAATAAACTACTTCATGAAGGAAGTCTTTTTTGAATGTGAGAAAAATGAATTTTTTATAACAACTGTAAAATAAAAATGTGTGCCTTTTCACTTGAAAAATATATGCAGTGTTTGCCTTTTTGAACTTTAGAATTTGAACATGATATGGGTAGAATGTTTATATTTCACAGTTCTTATGTAGCCTTGGAATTCAACTTTATTATTTAAACAATCATCTGATGTAAAAGGAATAATTTCTTTCACAAGCAGGTGGCTTGCCTGTACTTTCATGTCTGTTACTAAGAAGAATATTTAAAGTTTTGAGAATTCAGATGGCTCATTTTAAATGTCTCTTCAGAATTAAATGAACTGTCATAGTCCCTTCTTAGGACACAAAGTAATCAGTGTACATATTAATCAGTATCCGCTAGATTCTGGATCAAACCATTTAAGATACTCATATTTCATTACTAGTTTTATTATTATTACTATACTGTAATCTAAATAATATTAGCAAGGATTGCAAAGTAGCCACTTACACAGAACTAAGTAATCTACATAATTGTATTTTCACATATTTTATTTTGTAATTGCCTCACCCTAAATTTTTGTACAGATGTCACGACTTGATATGTGAAATTTGCATGGGGAGTATTCTTTTTACTTTCAGTTTTTTGGAGACAAGGCCTCACTGTAGTGCAGATTGAATTCACTGCAATCCTCCTGCCTCAGCCTCCAAAGTGTTAGAATGACAGGCATGCAACCACCACACTCAGCCTGTGTAATGACTATTCAGAGGCACATGATTAAAAGGATTAGTATAATACATAATAACCTCATTAAACATGATGATAAGGTTTTATTATAGCAGGAGTAATGACAGGAAAGGCCCGAATAATGTGGTATTTTCTCTTGTAGACTCGTGCTCATCTGACAGTGAAACAGAAGACCCTTTAGATAAGAGCTCGATCCATGACGAACTTTTTACTGATTCTAAAGAAGAGTTAGAAAAACCGGAGACTTTAAGTGATGACAAGCTGGATGAGGAAACTCCAAAGCCAACGGCTCCGGGGCTGTGGGAGCCGGAGTGGGCGCAGGCCGAGCGGCGGCAGAGCCCGCACCCGGAGGCCGGCGAGGCCCCGCAGGCAGCCCAGCCTCTGGCGGGCGAGCCGGAGCCGGGCGAGGAGGCGCGGAGGGATGTGGAGCGGTCCCCGAAGGGCAAGGGCCGGCGCAGCAGGACGAGAGAGGGCCCGGCGGATGGCGCAAAGGCGTCGTGCCCGGGAGAGGCGGGCAGCGAGGGCCCCGCGGCGGCCGCGCATCCGGACCTGGCCGCGCCGGACGGCGAGGCTCTGGCTGCGGCCGAGGAGGAGGCCGAGCAGGCGGGGAAGGACCGGAGGCCGAAGCGGAAGCCCGCAGCGCAGCCGTCCCCGGAGAAGCGGGCCCGGCTGGAGAACGGGCTGGGCGCGGAGCGCAGGGCGCCCGGGGACGGCGGCGGGAGCCCGCAGCGCGCAGGCCCGCCCGCCGTGGAGCCGCCTCCGGGCCCCTGTGCCTGCGCCCGGGACCCGGCCGCACCCCCGCGGGAGGAGCTGGACGCGTTGCCGCTCATCGGGCCCGAAACGCTCATGTGCCACGAGGTCGACCTGGACGACCTGGACGACCGGGACAGGGCCAGCGCCGAGGAGGCTGGGGCCCCGGGCCCCGGGCCCCCCGCGCTCCCTGCAGCCGCCTCACCGCTCGCGCTCAGCCAGGACGGCTCCCGCAGCGACAGTGACGCAGCGCTCGAAGGGGACTGCGTGGCCATGGAGGGGCGCGAGGCGCGGCAGGACGGCCTCTGTGAGCCCGAGCCTGGCCCCGCTGCCTGCAGGGAGCCTGAGCAGGATCGGGAGGGCAGAGATAAAGGTGAGAGTCCAGCGGAGTTCTTGAGGCCCCAGTACCTACCTGCCCTGATGCCCATCAAGGCAGCAGAGGCAGTAATGTCCTCTGCACTTCCTTTTCCTTTCCTTCAAATTCTCTTTCCCCTCATTTCAGGTCAGAAAAGGCCAAGCGATGGAAATAGTGGATTAATGGCAAAAAAACAAAAGCGTACCCCAAAACGAACCAGTGCCATAGCCAAAAATGAAAAGAACGGCGCAGGTTGGTCTCGCACCCTGGCAAATGGGCAGTGGTAGTCCTTTCTGCAGTTGGCTGGTTTGATCATTGTTGTCAGTTTAAAACATAACTGGTTTATTATTTTCTAAAAATAGTCATTTTTCTGTTAACTTTCTAAAATTTTTATTTTTCTTAGTTCTTTGAGATAGGGCCTCACGGTGGTGCAGCCTGGTCTTCAACTCATGGCAGTCCTCCTGCCTCAGCCTCCTGAGTGCTGGGATTACAGGTGCTACCATGCCCAGTCTTTTAGACTTTTTTGTTGTTGCTTTGGTGTCAGGAATTGAACTCAGGGCCTTGTGCTTGCCAGCCAGGCTACCTGCTGCTGAGCTACATCCTCAGTCCTAAAAGAGTTTTAAGAGAAGTGACTTAAATAGTACATGATTCATACCTGGCTCTTGTTGCTATAAAGTATATGATGGGGCTTCGAGGAGTCCGTGGGAGTAGTATAGTTTTGCCGATTTCCTGATTTTAATAGCTGCATTGTAGTTCTGTCGCATTGGTGGTGGTTTAAGAACATATCCACAAATTCAGAGATTGTTTTCCCTTCAAGAAATGAAACCTCATTCACCTCCCCTTGACTGTGGGATGAGGGTTGTGACGCCACTTCTGACAGCAGTCGTGAGGGTGCCCTCAGACACTTGGCCACTGCAAGCACAACAGGGTCCTTGCTCAAGCCACTTCCCCTTATTTGAGAGCCCATTCAGGTGGCCTAGGAGAAGCCCAGATGGTGAGGAGCTGGTGGAGGGGCTGGTGCAGCCGTGAGCTTGTCTTCCGACTGGTCCGTGTCCTGAGCTCTTCCTGTGCAGAGCCTGGGATGCCTGAGGAGTCTGCTTAAACACTCGTGGACTTAAATTTAAGGTTTGGGGTTGAGGCATAACACAGCAGGAGGGAGCTGGCCCCCAGGGAAGTCACACACGGAAGCACTTGGGCAGCAAGACAACTTATTTTCAGATAGGTTAGATACAGTTTTTGATGGTAATTGTATACTTTTTTTTTAAGTTTGAAAATCACTTCAAATAAAATGTTTAAAAAACTTAAAAAGGAAGGGAAAGAAGGACATGATCAGTTTCACTGTTTAGAAAGAATCTTTGAATTCACTAAGGTGGTAAAAGGACAAATTAAAGAGATCTGGAAAGTCACTAGAATTCATTCACTTATGGATGAGAAGGAAAAGGAGCAAAGTAGAATGATATGGGATAGACCTGCACAGGCAGGGAAAAATGGACCAGAGATAAGCGTTGGTAAACCCTAGTGAGTTCAGGTAAGAAGTCCAGGTGCTTTTGGGCCAGTAGTATGGGGACCTTTAAGAAGAACACAGAGACAAAGTTAGAAGGTCTGGAGGTCAGGGTAGCAAAGAGCTTTTCTTTCAAGAAGTTCGACCCTTCCCAGGTGGGCTCATACCTGTAATGCCAGCTTTCAGGAGGCTAAGGCAGTAGGATCATTGTGAGTTCAAGATCAGCCTGAACTACACAGTGAGATCCTGTCTCAAAAAGACACACACACACAAAAGGAGAAAAGAAAAGAAAAGAAAAAAAAAAAAGAAATACGACCTTGATGGGGGAAGGGTCCACTATGGGGAGATCTCCCCTGCTCCTCTCTGTAAGGCCTGGAAGGATCCAGTTGGGTGAGTAGACTCTGAGAATGGAAGAATTTGAAATAAAAGGACACAGGTGACTGATGTAGGGCCATTCTAGAGGTGTTGGAGTAGACAGTACTAAGAGTAAGTAAAGAGATTATGTTTTACAGACCAAAGAAAGCAAGCCCAAACCACTAAGGACAGATACATACAGGGAATTGGGCAATTGAGTGTTTACCTGCAGTAGGAAGCAAGCTTGGCTATTGAAATGAATACAGGGTGTAGAGTTCAGGAAAGAAAAGGGAAAATTGAGAGTTGCAGCTTATTATTATGGGAAATCAAAATACCCTCTAGGGTAAATTGGTGAAAGTGAATGCAGAGTTGCAGGTAAATACCTTCTCTCAGTTTACTCTATATGCTTTAAAAGTTTGGTGTGTATCATCAGGACCCTTTTTGTGCTTTATATATAGTTTGAGTTGGGTCTTTTGAATTGGTTGTATGTTTTGCTTTCACATAATTGGAACAATACAGTAGTATTGAACAATACAGTAGTATTGTTTTATGACCTTTTATTTTCACTTAACAGTATAACATAGCAGGCCATTTTTGTTCTAATGAACTGTACCTCATTCTCTTTAACAATATAAGCAGAACATTCAGAAATACATAATTTTTAGTCTTTTTATACTGATAAATGTTCCATTATTTCTTTTTTTCTTTTTAACTGTTACAAAATTTGTCCATTTATCCTTTTTTTTTTCTGATACCAAAAGATAGAATGGCAAGGTCTGTTGCATTTTGGTGTCTTTGATTTATGGACTGTTGTCTCTAAGTGAACTTTTGTTATTGCTGTTACAGGGCAGAGCAGCGATAGTGAAGACCTCCCAGCCACGGACAGCTCAAGTAAATGTACGCCAGTAAAGCATCTTAGTGCTTCCAAGCCACCAAAGCTCACGCGCTCTCCTGCCAGGATCTCTCCTCACATCAAAGATGGAGAGAAAGAGAAGCAAAGGGAAAGGCATCCCAATTCCTCCCCCCGGACATATAAGTGGAACCTTCAACTCAGTAAGAAGCCCATAGATAACCTGAGAGTATATCGTAAACTGGAATTTTACAGTGTCAGCTTGGCTTAATATTAATAAAATAAGGAGTGGTGAATGGGGGATTTAGCTCAGCATCATAAGCACCTGCCTGGCAAGCATGAGGTCATGAGTTCAATCCCCAGTACCCAAAAAAAAGTAAATGGTGAATTAACACGAAGACATGTATGAATTGTTTAAATCAGTGAAACCTCAGTGTCCTTTACATATAGTGCTTTGTGTTGATGTTTTCTTATGTTTTTATGACCACTTAAGTATTACATGTTTCATATAGAAAATCTGGACTATATAAACTGTAATGAATTTTAATTCTAGTCTTCCCATTCTAAAGAGCTTCATTGAACTTAATATGATAGCTCTTAATAAACAGGAGTGTTACTTTTTTAAAAGAACTAACATTATTTTTTCTCCACAGAATTATTTACAAATCTCAGTTAACTTTTTTCCCATTTTAGGTGAATTAGATAACATGAACAGTACAGAAAGAATCTCTTTTCTCCAAGAAAAACTACAGGAGATCAGAAAATATTATATGTCTTTGAAGTCCGAAGTTGCAACCATAGACAGGAGGAGAAAAAGATTGAAAAAGAAAGACAGAGAAGGTAATTTTGTCAGATTTCCCCCTTTCCCCATTCTTCTGCTCTGTGTCCTCTTCTGAAGATTTCTGGCTCTGAACGTAGAGCACATCAATGCATAGTTTCTTTTCTGTTGTTGAGATTGACAGCTGATGAGCTGGACGAGATGCTGGGACGGCCCTGCCCCGCCTGGCAGTGGCCGCCGTCGTGCTCACTGCACAGGTTCTCAGGCAGAGCTCACCTGCTCTGATGTTCGCTCTGTGTTGTGCACACCTATATCGGCTTTCCAGTCACCAGCACTCTGTCATCACAAGGCTGGCCAAGATGAGTGAGGCATAGGCTTGTTCTCAAGATACCTGGTTGGGACCCTCAGTCACTTGCTGAGCAATTGCACTGCAGTGTGACACAGCTCGGCCACATGGGTGGGACAGATGTACTCCATACCCTGGCTGGTGACACAGGTACAAAACAGTTAATTAGGACTGTGCAGGACAGCATGTGTCCTCTGGGAAATGCTTGCCAGTCTAGCAATCGGTAGGAGAGGCGCCTTTGGAGTGATCACACAGAGAGCAGTGTCTGAGCAAGATCTTAAAACATATGGGTGACTTAGTTACATGCAGACATAATTATACTGCTAGACCCCCATACTCTGCTGAAGTACCAGTAAAGGGAATTAAAAGCCCGTAGCCCAAATTTACAGGGATCATGTTAAAAGCAAGGAGAAATTATTGCACACCAGTAGAAATGCAGGGAAAACAATGTAAAAGCTGTTAGTGCCAGTTGCTGAAGAAAATGAAAGGAAATTTATATATTCCTTCTGGAAAACCAAATGGTACAATTATTTGAGCAGTGCTGTACCTTCCAAAACTGGAAATGTGCTATGTGGTTTTTTGTGTACCAGGAATCAAATTCAGCACTTCACACTTACCAGGCAGGCATTATGGGCTACATGTCTGGCCCTATATTTTTAGATGTATTTGTTGGGGTTTCTTGGAAACTGAGTCTCACTATGTAGTTCATGCTGGCCTTAAAGTCACTCTTAGCCCAGGATGCCCTCATGTTCAGTGGTCTTCTTGCCTCGGCCTCCTGAGCTGGCGCCATGGGCATGCACCACCTTGCTCAACTGTAAGTGCATCTTTTGAGTCCAGAGCAATTCTTATACCTGTGACCAAGGAGAACTGCATTGTTTTGAATTAAAGGAAAGTGGAAGATAACCTGAATTAAGTGTTTATAAATAATGAACAGGTGACTAAATAGCACTTCGTCTTTTTTTCCCCCAGTACAGGGAATGGTACCGGGAATGCACTAGGCAGCTGCTGTGCCCCACTGAGCTATGTCTCTGGCCTTTGTTTTTGTTTTTTGTTTTTTTTTTAACAAGAGAGTGGTGATTTGTTCATTTGAAAATTATCCAAGCATGATCTCCAGGCTTCTCAGAAGACTAAGGCAAGAGGATGGCCAGTTAAAGACCAGCTCAGGAAACTTAGTGAGACCCTGTCTCAAAAAAATTAAGGCTAGGGATGTGGCTCACTGCTCTCTGGGTTTAACTTCCACTACTGGGGAGCAAAAATGAAAATCCTAACTACCTCCAAGGAGAAGAGGATGAGACAGCAGAGAAGAAATGTCAGCACCTTATCTTGGTGAAGCTGAGCAGCTAACTGCTGACAGGGTCCTAGCAAAGGAGACAGGGCTGCAACACTCCTCTCTCCAGGGGGAGAGTGCAGGAACAGCCAGGGATAGCACTTGGCTCAGAAGAGCTCTGCCAGCGGGGAAATCGATGGGACTGGAAATGGAACTGCTTAAAAGTGGAAGGAGGAATAGAGCCCTCCCACACCACCCTGTAAGGCAAGGTGCCATCTCTTCCTGGTCCAGCAGAAAACAGCAAGTTAACCTCACATAGGAGTGGGGACCAGGGGCCTTGGATACTCAGGGATGTTAGCCATAGCTGTATGAACATGAGGGTTGGGCCTTAGCCAGAAATAGTAGGTGGAGTGTAGACTGAACGATGAGACTCCTGGCCCGAGATCCAAGCCTCTTGGCTCTTTGAAAATTGCAGCCAAGTGTATGCTCATTCCTGAGAATATCTGAGGGCATTGCTCACCTAGGAAGAAAGACCTAACACAGCAACATCTGGACACTTCTGAGCCAGAGGATGAGGGCTTGGTGGTCACAGCATGTTGATGGCCACGGTGAAAAGCCCCAGGCCCTCGTCACCTCACGTCCCTGTCTTCACATGGAAGCTGTGTAGCCAGACACTTGGCAAAAGACAAAAGGGATAAAAAGCAACATGGAGAAAGCAGTGTATCATATTTTCTTCCAAACCCCAAAATTGGATCCTGTTTAAAAAAAAAAAAAAAAAACAAGAAGGATCTCTTAAAAAAATGACAATGGAAATGTTTTTAAAATTAACTGAAGAGGCCAGGAATATAGTTCAGCAGTGTAAGTATTTGCCTGGCAAATGCAAGGCCATGAATTCGATTCCCAGTATCAAATAAAATAATAGAGATGGACCTAAAGCAGAAGAAATTCCTTTGGAAAGTCAAAAGACAGTCTGTAGAAGTGCAAGAACCGATGAGGAGATCCACCTTCTGGACCATGCGATTTCTAGATGGGGTGCTGAACAAATCTGGGAGGAGGTTTCCATCAAAAAAGTATTATTCTAGAATCCCACAACTGAAGGATGTGTTAGAAGACTGAAAAGACTCGTGTGCCTTTTGAGAGAATGAGGAGGAAATCAAGCTGAAGTGCAGGTGAAATTTTAGAAGTCCACAACAAAGAGAAGATTGTGAATGTTGATCATATATAAAGTACTCACAAAAGAAACAGCAACCAATTTCTTATCTTTGTTCTCTTTTGTTTTGGCAGTACTGGGAATTAAATCCAGGGCATTTACATTGTACTGCATCTCTAGCCTTCTGTTTTGTTTTTTTAAATTTTGAGACAAGGTCTTATTAAAACTTTCCAGACTGGGCTTGAGGTTTTGATCCTCTGCTTCAGCCTCCCAGAGTGCTTAGATCACAGGTGTACAGGACCACGCCCGGCCAAATCAAGTTTCTTAGGTCATGTTTCCCCATGATTGTACTAGAAACTTGAAAGCATGTCAGGAAGACAACAGAAGATCCAGCAAAGTCAGCATCCCACATAGGAAAACAATAAAGAAACATTTCAGGGTAATGGTGAAGGAAGCTTTATAGTGATCATTACCCTGAATGCTTAGGAAGCAACTGCTGCAGGAATGGAGTGAAGCAGGTACGGTGGGGCTTTCCAGGAGGATGTGACAGCATGAATGAATGAATGAGCCAATCAATGAGAAATGTCCTGTCCATGTTGAGAGATTTCAGTGATGAATTATTGATACAGTAACCAGTGTCATGTGTGCCATTGAATTGGTATACTCATTATAGAGAATTTGTATCTTGATTCTTCCTTTTTTCCTATTTCCCTCCTCTCTCTTCCTTTCACCCCTTCTTCCCGTCCACTTACAAAACCTTTGTTCCCATTTTTTTGCCTCTATTCTCTTTTTTTTCCTTTTCCCTTCCTTTCCTTCCCAACGTTGTCCACTTCCCATTTGAACATGTTCTTCCTGTTTCCCAATATCTGTCCTTCATTTGCTTGTTGTTTACCCTTCGTGTTTCTCACCCAAAAGAAACTACAGTGTTTAAACTCGTGTGTCCAAAAATGACTCCAATTTATCCTTCTTTCTAGCTACTAGTATTCCTTGTATATGAATATCCCATTTTCTTTATTCATTTGTAGACGGGCATCTGGGCTGTCTCCAAGATGTAGGTATTCTAAATTGTGCTGCTGTAAACATGAGTGTACATATATCACTGTGATGTGTTGCTTTTAACTCTTTCTGAAAGACCTAGGTGGGGAACATATGGGTCAAATGGAACCTCTTCAGTTTTTTGAAGAATCTTCATACTGATTTCCATAGTTATTGTACCAATTAACATTTTTACCAACAGTAAGGAAGCATTCCTTTCTCCCCACAGCGTTTGTTATTGGTTGATTTCTTGATGATAGCCATTCTTTCTGGATGAGATGGAATCTCAGTATTGTTTTAATTTGCATTTTTCAAATGACCAGTAATGCATATATTTATTTGCTGTTCATACTTCTTCATCTGAGCAGTGTCTGTTCACTTTAGAGGCCCATCTTTGAATTAGATCTTTAAATTTGGGGATGGAGGCCTGGTTTTTCTGAGTTCTTTATACATTGTAGATGTTAGTCTTGTGTCTGAGGAATAGCTGGTAAAAATGTTTTCCTAATTTGTAGATTAGCCCTTCAGTCTTTTGTTATGCAAAAGCTTTTTCATTTCATGTGATCCAAGTTGTTGATTCTTTGTAATTTTTTCTGTGATCAGGGTTTTGTTCATAAAGTCTTTGTAACATATGTCTTCCAGAGTTTTGCTCACTCAGGTGTTCCAGCAGGTTAAGTGCTCAATTTTAATATTTAGATCTCTGCTCCACTTCAGTTTTAGTTTTGTGCATGGTGAAGAAATAAGGGTCTAGGTTCAATTTTTGGTATGTGGAAATCCAGTTTTCCTAGCACCATTTTGTAAAGAGGCAACCTTTTTTGCAATGGATATGTTTAGTAACCTTCATCACAGATAAGGTGGCTGAGTGTGTTTGGTTCTGTATCTTTTGTTTTGTTCCATTAATGGTTAGGCTTGTTTTTGCCTTACCATGCTATTTTTATCCTAGTAGCTTTGTAGTATAATTTCAAGTCATTGTGATGTACCCTGCATTGTCTTTGTTGCCCAGAGTTGCTTTTGCTATTCTAGGTTTTTTCTGGTTCCTTATGAATTTTACAGTTGTTTTATCTGTGAGGTATACTGTGAGGTATACTATTGGCATCAAGGTGCCTCAGTCACAAACTTAATTTATTCTGCTATTCTGGAAAAGATGGCCACATGCATGTTCACGCAGGGGAGGTAGCCACAATTATGTCCATCACCTGATACAGAGTTTGCAAATAAAAGCATTTGTGAATTGAGGTACCACTGTATTTTGATTAGGATTACATTAAATCTATTTACCAGTTTTAGTATAGCTACTTTTGCTACATTGGTTCTTTCTATCCAAGAACAAGGAATGTCTTCCCATTTTTGATACCTTCTCCCATTTTCTTTTTCAGAGTACTATAGTTTTCAGTGGACAGATCTGACTTGGTTATTTTTCTCTTGTTGCTAAGACAAAATGCTTGACTCTCAGAATTAAGGAAGGAAAAGTTTATTTAGCTCACAGTTTATGGAATTTCAGTCCTTAACATGGCTGGCACCAAGACAGTGTCACATGGCAGAGGGCAACACTTCATGGCAGCTGGAAGACAACATAATCAACAAAATCAAAAGGGGTGGAGCATAAGAAAAGACTCTTTCTGTCCCTTACATGGTATGCAGACTACCCACCCAGGGTGGATGTAGCACTCACACTCATAATCCCAGCATTGGGCCATGAAATAATCACAAACTCTAGACACCTGTACCCATGACTGCATGAGGTTTTGGAGGGACATCCAGACACAAACCATAATATTTTTCCTCTCACCCCTCAAAGACTCATGCACATCCTTTATGTAAAAGACATTTAGTCCATCTCTAAGAATTGCCAGAGTCCTAAAAGTTTCAGCATTGCTGAAAAGTCAGTCTCAAGTCTCCTGCAAAATGTAAGGCAAACTTAGCTGTGAGCCCCTATACATATGAAAAGAAAAATACCTCAACATTCCATTACACAAGATAAAAAAAAAAACATACAAATGGAATATGATAGATTGCAACCAAAGCAAGTTCAAAATCCTGCAAGTCCTGTAGTTTCATGTAAAAGATCTGAAGCATTCTGTGGCAAATTGTAAGCTCCAGAAGACTTGCTAGGCTCTGATTCTATGGCACTTCCAGTGGCTGTAGCTACCACAGCTTCTGTCTTAGATTTGCCCCTGCTCAATCCTTGCAGCTTTCCTTGATGATCCACATTCTTAGCTTTTCCAAATTTCTGGAGTCTCCACTGCACTTTTGGCTTCACACTCACAGCTTTACACACTACCCTCTCAGAGGCACACTGCCTGGCTCCCAGATCTTCTGAAATCTGGGTGGAAGCCTTAAAAACCTCAGAACTCTTGCATTCTGTATGCAACTAAAACCAGCACCATGTGGATAATGCCCAAGTCCGTTGCCAGGAGGAGGAGTAGCCAGGCTGGCTTCTCTCCTGCCTGGATCACTGAGCCCTCTGAACCTGATTCTGAGGAACAGATTCTCTATGCTGCTGCCATTCTGGAACATGAAGCTCTGTGGCTTTCTTCTTAAAGCAAAGTCTTTCAGCTTTACAGTTTTCAGATTGCAAAGGGTGGGACTTGCTGCTGCTTGTGATGCCTTCAGGCCATCTTTTCTATTGTCCCGTTCCTTCTCAGCAATCTAACTCTTCTCAGCTATATCTTTGCAGTCCACAGCTTTACTGGAGCTTCCTTTCTGCCCAAACTCCCAATGTTTTAAATCATTCTTCTGGGTTCTGTGGTCTTGATTTGCAACATAAAATTGGCTAAAAGCCCCCAGTAATAGCCATGCCACCGCCTCAACATTCAACTGCCTTGAAATTTCATCTGCCAGATCAATTAGTCCATCACCCTTAATTTTAGTCTCAGGCAGTCTCTGGACATTAGCAAAATGCAGACAAACTTTGCCAGGACATAACATACATTGTCTGGAGACCCGCAACCAGTGCAGTCCTTCCCAGCAGAAGCCTCCCAGGGCTGGTCTTTACTGGCAGGATTTCTATCAGCCTCTGGCCTCCTGAGCTCTGACCAGAGTCTCCCATACAGAACAGCCTAAGGTGTTCTAGCTTTTCTCCTTCTGGTGACATCTCCAAACCTTTCTAAAGTCTTGCCACAAGCCATTCCCAAAGGCTCTTGAGCCACATGATCAGGTGTAGTCACACCAACAACCTCACTTCTCCCATAACAAATTCTGTCTTTCTTACTTTTCTCTCATGGCTGTTACAAAATACCTAATGCCCAAAATGAAGGAATGAAGGTTTATTTATCTCACAGTCTATGGAGGTTTTCAACCCGTACTCAGCTGGCTCCAGGGCAGAATGACCTGACAACAGCAAAAGCAACAACAAAAGGGTAGGAGAGTGAGAACAAATCTCTTTCGTTCCCTTACATTGTATGCAGGCTTTCAGAGTCCATTTACATGGTATATCAGCTTTTATCTTTTTATTTTTATTCTGTGTATGTCTTAGAGGATGAAATGTGTTTCTTGCAAGCAACTATACCTTTTTAATCTGATCTGCCAGTTTGTGTCTTTTAATTAGAGAATAAAGGCCATTTACTTCAAGGTTATTACTGAAAATTATATGTCAATTTTTGCCATTTTGTTAAACTTGTAATGTTTTATTTGATTATAATATACATTTGTTTTTCTGTTCTTATTCTTTGGCAGGTAGTGTTTTTTTTTTTAAGTGTCTTCTGTGGTATTGGCTTAACAGTCAAGAATTCCTTTAGTTTGTATTTGTCTTAGAAAGTATACCTCCTTCAATTCTGATGGATAGTTTGCTTTTTATAGTGAACTAGGTTGGCAGTTATTTTCTTGCAGAGCTTGAAATATGCTATTGCATGCCTTCTTGGAAATGCCACTCTTTTGAACCCAGGATCTCATGCATGCTACACAAGTGCTATACCATTGAGACATATCCCCAGCCTGAGCCCTACTGTTTGATCCTGGCCACTTTGGAGACATTTTTTTGTGTGTGTGGTAGTGGTCATGGTACCACTGCTAGAGATAGAACTCAGGGCCTCATTCATGTGTTCTAACACTGCACTTCCTTCCCCTAACCCTTGGGCAGTTTCTTTTGGGAGAGGACAGCATATTATTTATTGTATTTCTTAGGAAACAATGAATTGGTGATGTCACTAGAAGGCAGTTTCCCCAATTCTGCCACAGTAGCCCTTAGAAATCTGTAGGATAGATGTTTGTGTATTATGTTGGTTACTTTCTCTCATTGCTGAGACCCAAACCCAAAATGAAGGAAAGAAAGGTTTATTTAGTTACAATTTGTGGAAGTTTTAGTCCATAATCTGCTGGGTCCAAGGCAGGGTGGCTCATGGCAGAAGGCAGCAGTTCCTGGCAGCAGAAGACAGCAAAAGCCACAAGAGCAGTGCTCACTTCGGCAGCACGTATACTAAAATTGGAATGATAACAGAGATGATTAGCTCGGCCCCTGCATAAGTATGACCCGCAAATTCGAGAAGTGTTCCATATTTTTACAAAAAAAAAAAAAAGCAACAAGAACAAAAAGAGAAGAGCAAGTGAGTGAGCAAGCGTCTTTCCCTCCCTTTTATTGTGTGCAGCTGCCTGCCCCAGAACTGGTGTAACACTCACACCCATAATCCCTGCATTGGACTATGAATTAACTACAAACTCTAGAAGCTCCTCCATGACTACATGAGGCTTTGGGGAACATTCAGACACAAGCCATAAAAAAGTCTTTCATTTTGTTAGATTGATTCCTAAGTATTTCAGTTTTCTTGAGTCTGTTGTAAAAGGTATGATTTCCCTAATTTCTTTCTCCTTGAGTTTGTTGTGTACAGGAATGCTATTGATTTTGAGTGTTGACTTTGTACCCTGCTATGCTAGTGAATTTTGTTATTCTAGGAGTCTTGGTAGGATCTTGGGGAATCTGCTGTGTAGAACATCGTGTCAGCTGCAAATAATAATTTAACTTCTTTTTTTCCTATCCACTTTTTTTTATTTATTTCTGCTATTTGCTGTGGTTAATGTTTCCAAAACCATATTGAACAGGAGTGGTAACAGTGGACATCCTTGTCTTGTGACTGATTTTACAGTGAAAGAAAGCTTTCAGCCAGGGATTTAGCTCAGTGGCATAAGCACCTGTCTGGCAAGTGCAAGGTCATGAGTTCAATCCCTGTTACCAAAAAATCAAGAAAGAAAGCTTTCAGTTTTTGACCAGGATGATGTCAAAAGCTATTGGCTTGTCATAGATAGTTTTATTAGATTGAGATAAACACCTTCTATTCCAATTTTTTGTATGGTTTTTATCATGAAGGGGTGCTGGACTTTGTTAAATCATTTTTCTGTGTGCATTGAGATGATCGGGTAGTTTTCTCCTTGGTTCTCTTAATGTGGTATATTACATGTGCATTCACTAAACCATCCCTGCATCCCTAGTATGAATCCCACTTTGTCACAATGTAAAATTTTGATGATTTGCTGCATTCTGTTTGCCAGTATCTTATTAAGGATTTTGTTCTCTTTTTTGGTTGAATCCTTCTGTGGTTTTGGTATCAGGGTAATTCTTGCTTCCAGGAATGAGTTTGGGAATATAGCTTCCCTTTCAGTTTCATTAAAGAGTTTCAGGAATGGTGGCATTAGATCTTCTCTAAAGTTCTTATGGAATTCAGCAGTGCATTCATCAGGACCTGGCCTTTCTTTGTTGATAGTTTTTTGTTTTGTTTTTAAATTCAGTTTCATTGACTGATTGGATTTTATATCTTCTTCTTTGGTGATTTGTGTGTATGTAGGAATCCTTACATTTCTTCTGAATTTTCCATTTTATTAGATTACAAGTTGTCAAAGTAGGCATTGATCTTGCAGATTTCTACAGGGTTAGGATTAGTAAGCCAACTTTTCAATTTATTGGTTCTTTATTTTTTTTTTTAATCTCAATTGCATTAGTTTCTGCTTTGGTCTTTATAATTTCCTCCCTTGTATGTTGTTTGAATTTAATCTGCTGTTCTTTTTTAGATGCTTGAGGTCATTCTTGTGCGTTTGCTGTTTTTCTGATTTGGGAATTCACCACTTTAAAGTCCTCCCATTGGCCTGCTTTCATTGTTCTCATAAGTTCTAATATGTCATATTGGTGTGGAACATTATGTAGATATCTGCCAAGGTTATTTGTGCAGAGGTTTGGTTCAGTTCTGATATTTGTTTGTTGATTCTCTGTCGAGTTGATCTATTTGTGACAGTGGGATGTTGAGGTGTCACCTATTATAATCGTAGTAGTTCTTACCTGGAATTTTGTTTTGTTTTGTTTGTCTTTTTGAGACAGAGCGGTACTATGTAGTTCAAGCTGGCCTTGAACTCCCTTTGTAGCCTAGGCTGGCCTCAAATTTACAGCAGTCCTCCTGTCTCAGCCTCCCAAGTGCTAGGATTACAGACATGTGCCGCCATGCCCAGCACTTATCTGGTTTTTGACATGCATTAGTGTTTGTTTTATGTAGATCGGCCGCACCAGTATTTGGTTCATCTACATTTAGGGGTATTATCTCTTCTGGGATTGTTCCCTTAGCAAGTATATAAAGGCCTTCTTTGTGTCTTTTGTTGAGTCTTGCTTTGAAAGCCACTTGGTCTATAAATAGAATAGCTGCTTCTGTTTTTTCTGGGTTCCTGTCACATGGAACATTGTTTTCCATCTTTTTACTGTCAGTCTGTGAATTTTGTTTGGATTAAATGTGTTTCTTGTGTGCACCATATTCTGTTTCTTGATCCATTCTGGCAATCCTTCTTTCACTGAATTGAGACCGTTCACATTGATGATTTACTGCTGATCTGTGCTGACTTATCCTTGTCTCATTATTTTCCTGTTGTTGCTTTCTTTTCTTTCCCTTCTGCTTCCCTTGTTTGGTGGATTCATTCTATTGGGGATTCTTGGAACTGTTGTTTTTCTACAGCATCCCTCAGAATGTTTTAGAGTGCTGGTTTTTGGTTGTGCATTTCTTCAGGTTGTGTGTGTGCGCGCGTGTGCTAGAGATCACAGTGTTACGCTTGCCAGGCAGGTGCTGTGCTATTGAGCTACATCCCCAGCCCTCTGCAAGTATTCTATATCATGGAAATACTTTATTTCTTTATCAATTTTAAAGGACAGTTTTGCAGGATACATCAGTCTGGGTTGGAGATTGTTTTCTTTTAGGACTTAAAATACTTCAGGCTATCTATCACTTGAGGGTTTGAATTTAGGAGTCTACTGTGATTCTAGTGGGTTTTCCTTTATAAGTAATTTGGTTTTTTAGTTAAGTAACTTTTAGTATTCTGTTCTTGTGTTGAATTTCTGGAGTCTCGACTATCATATACTTTGGTGTAGTTTTCTGCTGGTCATAACTGTTGGGAGTTCTTATGTGCCTCATTTATCTGTACCTCAAATTCTTTTACCATGCTTAGAAAGTTTTCTGTGAACAGGTTTTTATGGCTTTTGTGCTCTTTTTTGATTCTTCGTTGATTCCCAGTAATGTTACATTAGTCTTCTTTGTATCATGTACCATCCGTTGCATTGATTTTTTCATAGTCCTTTGCATCTCTTTTGATTTGTTTTGTTTTGAGACAAGGTCTCACTATATAACCCATGCTGGCCTAGGATCATGTAGCCCCAGCTGACCTCAAACTCATAGTGATCTGCCTGCCTCTACCTCTCAGTTGGTAGAATTACTGGTGTGCACCACCACACCTGTAACTCTGCTGTGTATACATTCAGCAGAATTTCTTAATCTCTTGAATTTCTATTTGAGTCTATTTTATGTAATCCAGTTCTTTTCTGTGTTGGGAATTCATGGTTTCCATGTCTTTCCTAAATTCCTTTTTTTAAAAAATCTTTGTCTACTCCAAATTCACTAACCATTTCCTTCCTTCTGACCATTATCTCTGTAATTATCTATTTTGTTTTTGTCAAGAGACTTATTGATCTGTTGTGTTACTTCTGGTGCTACCATTGCATAAAATTCAACTGGTTAGGTTTTATTTCTGCCACCTCAGTATCCCTTTGTTCAGTCGGATGAGTTGGTAATTATGGGCTGCATCTTGCTCCTCAGGTTATTCATATTCTATTTTTCATTTTATGTATTTGTTTTCTGTACTGAAGCTTGTAAATGTTTTATGGTAGGTAGCTTTATTAACCAGCGTCTTGTCTTTTTTTTTTTTTTTTTTTTTTTTTTTTTTCTTTTGTACTAGAAATCAAACTCAGGACCTTGTGCTTCCCAGGTGGTCACTGTGTTACTGAGCTATATCCCCAGCTATTAACCAGTATCAAGACCTCTTTTACAAATTATTATTTTTCAGAGGTATCTTCTATGTGTAGCTGGCTTTTGGCCTTTGAGTCTGTCCCGGGATCCTGCCTGTTTAATTTATTAGGAATGAAAGGTTGCGACCTGTTTGGCCTAGCACCCAGTTCTTTGGTACTGGACTACAGTATAGCTTATGATCCCAAACAATATAGGTATTGGCAGACAAGATCAGTTGATCATAGCAGCTACATCATCTTGACTAAAGTAGTACAATAGTAATAACAATAGCATCAAGCACAAACTGAAAAATGAAAAACTGTCATAGCTATTAATTTGTCACCTTTAACCATAGGTACAAAACTTATAGTTACATAACAAAATCTAAGACAAATCAGAAAATTTTATACAGTAAATCTCCACTCAATAGAGCTATTTTACCCTGATGGGAAAAATTTTAAAAGGGATAAGAAGAAAAAATAGAGAAATAAGAGAAAGACATTAGAAGCAAGACTGAATGACAGAGAATTATCCAAGCCTTGGGATACTGGTGAAGAGGACAGGAAGGAAAGAAGAAAACTAGTGACAGAATAAAACAACTGGGCCTGGTGGTGCAGGCTTGTAATCCCAACACTTAAGAGGTTGAGGCAGGAAGGTCACCACCAAGGCCAGCCTGAACCACAAAGTGAGACCCTGTCTCAAAAAAAATTTTTTTTAAACCTAAAATTTCACATTCATGATATAAAAACCAAAACAAACAACAAAATTCCCATAAGCAATGAAAAAAGAAAACTTCTCTGTAATTATAAGCCTGTGATTATCTTCTGAGGTCTACTGCTTTTTTGTTTTAGTATTCATTTCAGGGCATGACTTTTTTCCTGCTGGTAGGCTAGGGAGGTGGTGGGAGCCCAGATACCTGCTGGGTAACCCCAGGAAACTGGCATTAGTATTAGGGCAAGATGCTGGTTCTGGTGCTTTGAAGTCCACAGAGTGATCCTGGCCTCTGGTCATGAGTTAGAGCCTGAGTCTAGTTTATAATACTCCGAGTGTCAAGAGCTGGCCTGACCATGATTCCCTGGCCCTGGATATCTCCTATGCTTGTCCCTCACCCAGTCACTGGGGTTTTGACCCTGGGAACCCTGAGATGAAGCCAACCTACAGCTGCTCTCACTCTGGTGTTAAGTTGGCCCCAGCCTAAGATGGCATCCAACCGAGCACAGTCTCCAGGGTACCCTGCCAGGGGCTGGACTACCAGCTGTCCTAGTGCACAGCATGCACTGCTCGGTTGTACTGTGCATTTCCTCCCTGAAGTCACTGCTTTCACAGTCTCTGTAGATTCTGTGTTCCTTTCGAATGCCAGGAGCTGAGGGAAAGTGCAGACTGCCCTTCCTTTTTCTGTGTTGATGTCTGTCTGCTCTTTCTCTGTGGGCTTCAGTTTTCCTGGCTCCCAGGGATCCCCCTCCCCGCTCCTCTTCTTCCCCAAATTATTATTCTCCAGTGCCTAGATTCCAAAATTTGAAGTTGCTTTGTTGCTGCTTACCACTGTGCTATCTTCCTGGAAGTCTTTTGCTTTTAAAGGCTAAACAGTAGGCAGTTTTTACTCTTAAAAACAAAGAGAAATGGCCAGGGATGTAGCTCAGTGGCATAAGCACCTACCCAGCAAGCATGGGGTCATGAGTTGGATCCCTGGTACAAAGAAAGAGAGAGAGAGGGAGAGAGAGAGAGAAAGGAAGGGAGGGATCAACTGAAATTTCTTCAGAGAACCCTTCACTTTCATTTTATTGTATTTATTTTCTTTGTTTTTTGTAGTGAGTTACTAGATTGGGACACTGAGTAATTTGTAGCACACATGGAAGTATTTGTCATAATGAGGCACATGTCTTACTGCTAGTCACATATATACAGAAGTATACTTGAGTCAGTAAATATCAATAAATAAAACTTAGTAAGGAACAACTGGATAAAGATTGGCAAGCAATCGTAGACTTTTTTAAGGAGAACACTAAAAGCCAAGAGGAAGATAAAAGGGAGGGAAAAAATACTATACAATGGCAGAGTCTCACACACAGATAGTAATCCGTAATCCATGTCATGTCCTCCTAAAGAGTTTTGGTAAAGCCATTTGAGCATTATTTTTCCAAATCACATACCCGCACTTCCAGCCTCATGATTCTAATACCTGACAACGACTAGAAATTCTCATAGTGTCATGACCCTAAGATGCAGCAAAACTTCCTACTGTAATGAGATTTCATGTTTAACTTATATTTTATTTAGACCAAGCTAAGTTCCTTCAAGTACTGTTCAAGAGTTTATCCTTTGACCTCTGCATTTGCAGCATGCCCCCTGCCCCACCTCGTGCTGAGAATTGAACTCAGTGCTGTGCTAAGCGCGTGCTTTACCCCTGAGCTGCGCTCCCGAGCCCTCTGGTGTCTTTTGAACTCTTGATTTATTTAACTGACCAAAGGCTGATTGCACACCCTCCAACTAAAGGGAATACTTGCTAACCATCCATTTTCCTTGTGATTGCAGTGAATAATGTGAAGGGTCTCATTTCCCCTGGCTACACGTTTGTATTTTTGAGTCTAATACAGTTCTTTTGATTCTGCAGTGTCTCACGTGGGAGTCTCCATGTCATCAGCTTCATCAGACACTGGAATGAGTCCCTCCTCGCCATCCCCCCCACAAAATGTCCTTGCCGTAGAATGCAGGTGATAAACATTTCCTCTGCCTTCCAGCGATGTGCTGCCATGGACATAACTCCCCAAACCCCAGCGGACAACCACAGAAAGCACTCAACTGGCTTCCTATTGCAACTGGCTTCCCATCGCTAAGCAGATCCCGTGTACTTTCCTGGACTGGATTGTATCTGTCCCTTCTCTCTTTTTCCTTGTTTCAAAACCACGCTGATAAATAATTGAAGGTTAGGCGGCCCTGACGTATTTGTCAGGAGTTTCCCTCTTCATTTCTTTTTCATTTTTTGCGATACAGAAAAAAGGGCACTTAGCAGATTTTAATTTGTATAATAAAGCTTTCAGATGTTATTGAAATCATAGACAAGCAAGTGCACATGATAAACATCAAAGTTATCCAGCTGAATAGCTACTGCTGCACTTTCACTAAGATGTATGTGGACACTTGGTGAGTAGGGAATTTATGTTTTGTGTTTTTTATTGTTGTTGATTTTTTTTTTAGTGGAAGCACTTGCTATTTAGAACTGCCAAAGTATATGTTCAGCAGTGTGCCCAGGTTTAAAGGTATAAGTGGGACAAAATAAATTGTGAAGGAAGTGTAGTTGACTGAAAACTACAGTTGTAATAAGTCTTCCACTTTTTATAGGACTTTTGAGCACACAATTATGCAAATATTTTAATGTTTATTAATGTGTACAGTGGAATTGTGAATAAGTTTTCAGTGGACTATCTTATCCCTTGACAAAAATATTTTGTCTTTTTTCTATGTAATTTCAGAGTTTTTATTTTGTTACAAAAATACAAAAATGAAATATATAACAACAATGAAGTTATTTAACAAGATTTCTAAAGCTGAAATTTTTGTGTAAAATAAGGTATTATCTTGCAACTTGTTAAATATATTTATTCAGACATTGGATGTTGTATTTTTATGTATTTTTTAAAATATTAATAAAATGGAAAAAAAGACAATTCTAGGTTAATTCACTCTTTGGATGACACTCTCAGCTGTCCATTTCCAGGTGGGTACATTCAGCAACCCCCGGTGCAAGGGAGTCTGTCTGTCTGTCCAACAGTAGAGAACTGTAAATGCACATCTGGATCATTAAAGTGGGTCCTTAACTACAAACTTTGGCAGTCCTAGTATCTAAACTTTTTTGAGGATCAAAGGTTGGTTGCCCTTAAGATGCTTTGTCACCGTGTTTATGCTTGCTATACTGCCGAATAAATTTATATCTCCCAAAGTTGAGATGCAACAACTAGTAAAGCAGTTACGTATGCTTGTCTGTGAATTGTTCCACAGACTGATACATCTTGTAAATAATTCTTCCAAAATCATGTATTTAAAGCAATTTTGCATATACATTATGTAAAAAGGTGATTTTTTAAGAGCCAATTTTTAAATTCATGTTTATACATTGAGAAGGTTTTTTAAACCTCCTTTTCTGTGTTTCATATGCTGTAGAGTAATAACCTAGATGCTCTAGATTGTGTATCAGGATCTAATTTACAAGAACAAAGTCAAAGCTAACCCTAGTGATGGCGCATAGCATTACTGATATCATTGTTTCTTAATTTCACTTTACCATATTGTGAATTTGTGATTCAGATTCCTTCCATCTTCTCAGAGAATTAAAAACAAAACAGTTCCCTTGTAAAATGCACTTTTCTGTCTTTTCTTTGCAAAGCAGAAGTATTTCAGTGTAAAACAGAAATGGAGTGCAGCAGCCAGTGTTAATAAAGGCCATGTTTTAAACATAGGCTTTATATTTTTAGTTTTCATTTAAGTGATTGCTTTTTCCCAAATGTCAGTGTTTTATAATTGGAAAATCAGATTTCACAAAAGAAAGAATTCTGGTATATTCAGTCTTTACAATAATATTTCTAAATTTAATTATAAAAATGAAAAAGTGTCATTTAAATCTAGGTGGAACAAGCAGATAATCTTAAATTTATATATTAGATATTTTAATAATTTTCTTCAGTAACAGTATAATCTAAGACAACTAACTTATCAGTTTGAGTACTGAGTTATAATTAATATAAATGTGGTATTGAAGTATTGGGATGTTGCTACAGAGAGTAAAATTAAATATTCACTGAAGAAGTATATAAACATTGCTTAAATTCTTTTATTTGGCGAAGATATGAAATTAAGTGAATATTGCCTGGGCATTATAGTTCAAATATCAGGCATATTTTGAATGTACCTAAACTTTGATATCTCTTGCATGAGACTAAGAAAATACAGCATCCTCTTTCCTTTGTGTTTTTGTTTCAGTATTGGGGATCAAACTCCCAACCTCACATTTGCCAGGCAGGTGCTGAGCTGTACTCCTGGCCCCCCTAAGAAAGGAGAGTATAATGACTTAAAAGGCTGTGTAGCTTTCTGTTTTAGTTTTCCATTATGTAATGGTATTGTTTTTGTATTGAATTTATAGTTTTCCTACTCTTAAGAAAGCCAATTGTAAGACCATTACCTACTATATCTGAAAATGCTTGGAATTACACAAATGTATTAGGGATTACCATTTGCTGTGTGCCTTTATTAATGATCTGTAATTTGATATAGCTATCACTTTGTGAAGATCTTCAAAAATATATTCAACAACACACAAAGTCTATTAACAACAATTAATTCATCAGTCATTTATTATTTTCTATGAGGCAGTCAGCACGCTAATTATGCTAAGTCCCAGGAACAACAAACGCATAACAGACAAAAGTTCCCTGTTTTCGTAGGATGTGTAGTCAGTGAACACATCATTCTCACTTGAGGCATTAGAAGCCTGGAGGGTACAGTGTGCCTGGAAATCATGGTACAGAGCCCAGCTAGAACGGAGGCTGGGAAGGCTTTGCAGAGAGCAGGACAGTGGAGGGGAGTCAATGGGAGGGTGGAGAGTGGTGATGTGAAGTGCTGGAGGCGCACAGGAGGGAAAGTGGGGAGCAAGTCAGCGCCTGAGCAGACCGGTGTGAGCCAGGTGGGCAGGGCCGGGCCAGGTGGGCAGGTCCAGCAGGGACTCCGGCCTGCTCTGCCTTCCTGCTCTGCCTCCCCTCTTGATTCCGCTCATCTCATGCCTGCTCGCCTTGAGCTGCCTCGAGAGCCACTTTGGAAGCTCCTGCTCACTGCTCACCAGCACCCCAGCCCACCCTCTGCAAGACTGGCGGCTTGTGTTACATTTCCTGTGTGTCGTGTCTCTGTCCATCACAGCGTGAGTTCCTTAGCGCTCTTCAGGGGTAGGTGGGGCCCCGCAAGTGCCTGCTCCACCATCTGACACACAGGAAGCCTGTCAAAAACTTTCATTGAGAAAAATTACTTTAATTGCTATTGTTCCTCTTTCCTTTTTAAAAAATTGGTCATCCTTTTGCAGGAAGCAAGACATTTAAGAGTCTTCAGGGTTCATTTTACAAAGTGATGTGAAGACACCATGTGAGAAGTGCAGGATTGGTTAATACTCTCTTCAGTATTGCTGAGCTGATGAGTTATTTTCCCGCTCCCACCACAGTTCTATGTGCACACAGGTGTCCATCCCAACACAGGAAGTCAGCCGTGCCACAGCTGGTCTCTAGTGAAGTCTGACTTGCTCTGAACAGACTTCATACTAATAAGGAAGCATTCCCACAAGTGCATAGTCTTTTGAGTAGAATTTGTTAGTCCTTTTTTTTTTTTTTTTTTTTTTTTTGTCTTTTTCGTTTTTACCGGTACTGGGGATCGAACTCATGACTGCCTGCTTGCAAGGCAGGCACTTATGCTGCTGAGCTAAATCCCCAGCCCCCCTTTAAATTTTTTTTATAAAATCAATTTTTTTCTGTTACAAGCACAAGACACCTTTTTAAATTTGTATATATCCATTGTGTATCTTTTTAAACAGAGTAGGACAGTATAATCTTGATATTTGTAGTTAACATAATTATGGGATTCTTTTCACTTTGTACTCAATTCATGCAGTAAACATTTGAAAAGTTCTATTGTGAAAAGTTGAAGGATCTTCCATGGAAATATAAACAACGCCATCCGAATCAAGGGTTCACTAGTACGCTGGGTGCAGTGTCACACACCTAAAATCCCAGCACTCAGGAGACTGAGACACAAATTTGAGGCCAGCCTAGGCTACACAGTGAGTTCAAGGCCACAGTGAAACCCTGCCTCAAAAAAGGAAAAAAAGAAAAAGAGTCTCACCAGTGAACAGTTGCCACAGTGAGCAAGTAAAAACCCAGCCAAATACAAATTTCAGCCAAATAGATTTTCAGGTAAATATGTCCCAAGGAAAACACTGTCATTTATTAAAATTCAAATGTAACTGTAAGCCTGGCATGGTGGCGCTCACCTGTAATCTCTGCACTAGGGAGGCCGAAGCAGAAGGATCATTGCAAGTTGGAGACCAGCCTGGGCTACAAAGTAAGCACAAGGCCAGCCTAAACTGCTTCCCCTGTCTCAAAAAGACCAAAAAAAGGAGTAACTGTATGTCAACTGTGACACCTACACTAGTTCCTCTTCTGTTATATCCCAAGACATATTCATTATTGTCTAAAGAAACTTTTTTGATTCCTAATGGAAAATAAATTGTTGGAGTGCCTCTTTGTGGGCAGGCCACAGTTGATTTTTAACAGTCTCCTTGAAGAGGCATGATCTCCAAGACTGGCCCTATAGATAACATGATCCTAAATTCTTTTTTGTTTTATTTTATTGTTTGTGGCTCTTTTTGCACCGTAGATCAAACTCAGGACCTCGCACTTGACAGGCAGGCACTGTGATGCTGAGCTAAATTCCCAGCCCTAAATTCTAAGTAGTACTATGTAGTATTGTGTGTACTCCTCTTTTGTCTCTGACCATGCTAATCTCAAGTAGAAACGTAAAGTTCTCTGACCAGCATTAATAACTGTGAGTGAATCCACCACGAATACTCACATGAAGCTTTTGCACAGACCTGTTTTTAGTCTTCTCAGGTGAGTACCTGAGCATGGGATTGCTCAGTCGTGTGATTACCACCTTACCTTCCGGTCAGCTATAGACAGGAGTTGCAGTTACCGTGCCCCTGTTCCAGCTCTAGAGAGTGTTATTGTGATGTTTTTCATGTTTTAGCCATTTTAAGATGCAGTAGCGGCCACAGCGGAGCGAGGTGCCGGGCGCCGCCTGCCGGGCTCGTGTGGACCTGGCGCTGCTGCCGGAGCGTCGGCCGGCGCGCTGTGCTCGCCCAGGCTGGCGGGCCCGGTGGGGGCGTCCTGCCGTCCCCCGCCCAGAGCCCCCGCCCCGGCGGTCCTGGGCGGAAGTTTGGAGAAGACCCGCCCTGTCCCGAGGCCAGGGCTCCTCGGGCGGAGGGCGGCGCTGTGACCCCGGCCGGCCCGGGGGAGAACTCGGCGCGGCGGCCTCGGGTGCCAGGCCCAGGCCCAGCGGTTCTGGAGTTCTGGACATAGGACAGTATCTTCTGGACTGCTCCCCTCCTGCCTTCTGCTCCTCTGCAACAATATAGAGGCTTAAAACAGCCCACCTCTCAAAGAAACAACCTGAAGTTTTTCAGAGTTGTTGAGAGTCACACCAACCTCGCGGAGCCCCGAGGTCCTCCCGCTGCAGGGAGCATGCCAAACCCCTGAGGGCAGCAGTTGTCATCTGAGGGGGCATCCAGCTGTGAAGCCTCTTGTCAGAGGCAGAACAATTTCCTCACCTGAAGTGGGCAAGCTTGGTCAGGCTGGCATCATCATGCCACAACAGCCCCTGATTAACCTGCCCACTGAGGCCGACATGTGGGTGAAGTTACACCATCCAAGGAAGGCCAAAGAAGGGGCACCCCTGTGGGAAGATGTGACTAAAATATTTGAAGGAGAAGCTCTGCTATCTCAGGGTACTGGTGAGACCCAGGAAGAAAATTTAGAGGATGAAGTGATTCCTGGACTCCTGACAACAGAATCCTAGTTCTTGGGAACAACGTGGCCATGCTATGTTTATCCTGAATAATTCATGAAAGGAGAAAAAATGATCTGGTTGAGAGTGGTCCCCCTGTCCGGCTAGAACCTCCACAAAACTGTACCTCTTATGCTGCCAGGATGCAGGACATTAAGAAGATCGGATGTGTAAGAAAAGACATCATAAAGAGAAACTGCTGAGAAAGTCTGCTCTTTAGGGCTGACATGAACAACTGACCCTCGGCCATGCCACCCAGCCTTGGAGCCAGCTGATTATGCACTGAAACCAACAAAAACTCTCACGTGGAGCAGTTGAACTACACAATCAGCAAGACCCACAACTGAGAGTTCTCCCATATTCCATGGGTTGGACACTTTGATGACACCTCTCCTCTTGACGCACACTGTTCTCTCATCCATCTGCCTCAGCAGCTGCCTCAGCCATAGAGAAAGGAGCTGCCTAACAGAAGATCATAGCGAGAATGGAGCTGCATGGAACCAAAGCCCATAAAGGTGCAGAGCCGATAGAGACACTGAAGAGAAAGGGTAGACACACAAGAAGGTGAAACACCAGGCTCTGTCCAAACTGTGTCAGTGACTGCATGCCGTCAGCCCCGCTTGGCCGTTCTCCACATAAGCGCTCTGGGTGGCATCTTATGTATTGGGATTATTTGTGGCTTTGGCTTCTCTGCTCAGAGTTAATACTCTCTTAAAGAGTTCCGGTCTTTCTTTAAACATTGTAGAATGACAGATGTATTAGAAAACATGAACAATTTTAGTAAAAACCATGGTCATCTATGAAGAATAAATTCATAAAAGTTTAAGTATTCAAATTCCACTCCCTAACTCTGAGACACACATTGTGAGAAACATTTTGGTCATCTTCATGTGAGATTCATCGTTGCTCTTGTTCTTATTTAAAAAGTTAGGAAATGACTTTGGATAGTATTTATGAGTAACTTAAAGGAATACTTCATTTAAATTAACCTGAAACATATGGCTGTTTCATTTGGTAACTGTATGTGAATATATCTATGCTGTTCATACGTTATATTTACTTTATTGAATATGTATGCACACTAAAATGAACATTTCAGAATTTACTGAACAATGGAATACAATGAGAAGAATCAAATAAATTTCTGGGGACAAAATGTGAAAAGCACATGATGCTTTATAACTCATGTTTTATTCCTTTTGCTCTTCCTCAAAAATGGACCAGATTCTTAAACTGCAAGCATTAAAGAACCTTGGAAACGAAAAGGTCAACTAGAATGAAGAAAAGCATGACCAAATAATGAGGTGTTAGTCACATTCGCTTCAGTCTCAAAACCATGTATTGACACTGCTTTGTGTTTATTTCAGAGACACAAAATTTTGGACCAGTGACAAAGGCGAGACAAAGTGACTTAAAATATCCACTAAAAGTGTTTTTCTTCTTGTTCTTTTTTTTAATAGTTTGCACTTCAAATTGTAACTTTCTATCAAAGTAAGAAATTTTAGATAACCGTTTCACATTTAGCATTTAAAAAGGTTTTTAAAAATTGTTTTCTTTAGGTTTGTGTTTCTGAAGTGAATTAGGTTTTTTATAATAACATCATATTATTAATATTTTATCATGGAGAAAGTGCCTATAACTATCTGAAAGTGACATCACTTTTCATGTAAATGCTTTGAGGATGACATTAAGTTTATGCTCTTTAAGGAATATCATTTTGGTACACAAAGAAAATTTGAACTTGCAAATGAGTTTTTGTTGATAGTAAAATACACTAGGAACCAACAAGGAAGTGATTTTTTAAAAAAATTAATAGCATGAATATTTTTATTGCATTTTGATAGCTGTCTATATTTAAAAATACATTTACCAAACAATTTCATAATATTGAATAAGCTCTGGGTGCTTGTGGATATATATTTTAAACTTTCTATTGATTTCTTAAATCTGTAACTCATTAAGACAAGTACACTTTTAAAACACAAATATATCCATAATATATATATATAAATGTACTATATACATATATATGCAAATACATATACAGTATCTACTGGAAACTTAAAATGTTGTTGACATTACATTTTTATCAAAATATCAGCTGTTAATTGAAAAATCACATTTTTAAATAAAATTTATTTCACCTTCCAAAAAAAAAGATGCAGTAGCACTCACTCCACTGTGCATGTCTGTGATGCAATAATGCCACATGTAAGATTCCTTATTAATGTCAGCACCCTCAAGTTTTGGAAAACATTTAAAGACATAGAACTACTAAGCATGGCTGGCGCAAGTATAAATTATTAATATGTCTGTTATGGTTTATGTTTTGATGGCCCCCCAAGCCTCATGCAATCATGGAGGCAGCTGAGTCTACCATTTGTGATTGGTTTGTTGTCCAGTGCTGGGATTGGTAGTGTAAGCGCTGCACCCATCCTAGGGTGAGGAGCCAGCATACATAAGGGAGGGAAGGAAGGGAAGAAGGTGTGCTTGGCCCCTTTTTGGCTCTTTTGCTCTTGTCCCTTGTGGCCTCCATGAACGGCTGCCCCTCAGCCACACCACCATGCCTTGGAGCCAGCTGAGTATGGACTGAAACCTCCAAAATCTGTAAGTTAAATAAACTTTTCCTTCCCTAATTTTGAACATCAGATATTTTGTCTCAACAATGAGAGAAAAGTAACCAAGACAATGTCTATTTTGAATTTAGTAAAGAAAAAGTAAAGATCCCCTTTGACCTGGTGTCTTAGTTACTTTTTACTCCTTGCTGAGACAAAATACCTGATGACCAAAGTTCAAAAAGGAAAGGTTTATTTCTTACAGTTTTTGGAGGTTTCAGTCCGTACTCAGTTGGCTCCAAGGCAGGGTGGCATGACTGGGCCGCAGTTCATGGTAGCTGCAAACAGCAAGGCAGAAACTAGCAAGAGAGTAAGACATGCATTCTTCCTGCCGTTACATTACATCCTGGCTCCACCTCTAGGCCAGTGTAGCGCTCACAACCCCAATCCAAGTCCTAGACAATGAACCAGTCACAAATGCATAATGCAAATGCATGAGGCCTGGGGGCCACCAACATAAACCATGACACCTGGCAATTCTATATGACCTAGATATGTTCAAAGAGACTTTCATAAGATGACTTTACAGCATGATATGTATGATCAGAGAGAACCATTTTAAATACTCATCAACAAGAGAATGGAAAAGAAATTGTGACAGTAGTTAAATGCATTAATTATAGAGCAGTTAAAAATGAATGCAATAATAATATGCAATACAGTGACCACTGTTAACTTTCTATCATCTTGTCTTGAAATCCTACATTGTTTTTATTGTTGTTTGCTTTTAATTCCTTTAAAAATGGAATAGAATGAAATATATCAACATGAAGTTATCCTAAGCAAATTGCCAAGTGATGCATAAAATATAGCAATTTTGCTACAAAATTTGAATATTCAAAATAATATAACATATGCTTTTGTAAATAGGGTCACAAGAGTGAAGTGAGAAGGACGATGGTCACCTTCATAGGATGGGGAAGGCCAGGGCAGGATAGGCACAGGCATCCACATTCCCAGGGCTGACTGCATTGTTGTGTGTCTTTTACCATTGTTCTGACTGTCTCTATTGGTTACTTTTCTCTCATTGCTGGGGCAAAATACCTGGCATCCAAAGTTAGAAGAAAAAAGGTTTATTTAGCTCAGTTTGTGAAGGTTTTCAGTCCATAATCTGCTGGGTCCAAGGCAGGCTGTTTCATGACAGAGGGCAACAGTTAGCAGCCAGAAGATAGCAAAAGCAACAAGAACAAAATGAAGGAGGGTCAGAGAAGACTCTTCCTGTCCCTTATATTGTAAGTAGGCCACACTCACAGCACTCACCCATACTCCTACCATTGGCCCAGTTGAATCAATCACAAGCTCTACAAGCCAGCTCCCGTGACCACATGAGGCTTTGGGGGTGCATCTAGACACAAACCGTAACAGTCCCCACAAAGCTCATATTGAAATCCAGCCCCCATAGCGGGAGCTAAGGTGGGACCAGGCAGAGCCTGTAAAAGTGACTGCATCTGCCCTCAATGGCTGACAAGACCCACAGTGACTGTTACAAAAGCCAGTCCAGCTGTGTCTCAAATCTGTCCCTCCTGCCAGGTGATGCTCTGCAAACTCTACCAGCAGCAAGGCCCTCACCAGAGGCAGCCCCTCCGTCTCAACCCTCCTTGGCCCTGTGGAACTTGTGCTGAGTAACCCTTTATTCTTCAGATTTGTTTTTTTCTGAGACAGAGTCTTGCTGTATAGGCCAGGTAGCCATCCAAATTTGCAGTGATTGTGCTGCCTCAGCCTCCCAAGTTTAGGCATTACAGGTGTGCACCACCATACTTGGCTACACTTCATGAATTAGGCACAGTTAGTAAAGCAACTGTGGTATTCAGTAACAGCAACAGACAGTGGACTAAGATGACTATGTTACAGCTAATAATTTAAATGATACTCAGTGTAACTGTTGCATAGGAGGAAGAGAATAACCAGGACCCAGTGCCCTGTCAGTGAGTCCATCTGTTTTTCCTGCTTTGCTATTTTGTGTGCACACCAGAAAGCAAGTTCCCACTGGTCAAGAGCAGGGAGTGGTGCAGTTGGGCCTCAGCCCTCGGTTCTGGTTGCAGCCAGCATTTGTGCCTCACATGACACTGCCCTAAGTGGTGGCCAGGTGCCAGGACAGGGAGCTGCAGCCACCTCTGAGAGTGAAGGAGTCACAGATTTCATTTTTCAGCCTTCTAACTTCCTGTTTATTCCCCTTTCACAATCTGCTGTAAGATGAAATTTTAGTTACACTAAAACTGTTTATTGACATAGGTGAAATTTTGTATTGATTTTTCTCATAATCCATATTACACACTGACTTATTGAACTAGATTTTTTTTTCTGGTCTGAACACTACCTTTTACTTTAAACTGTAGACCATCTGGCATTTTAAATAACTTTGAACATTTCTCAGTTAACACTTCTTAATTACAGAAATTTTAGGATACAGAAGTGAGTTACAATTAAAAATTATAATTGGCCAGAAACAGCCACAGTTAACATTTTGTTGTATTTAATTCCATGTCTTTGGCTATGTGTACAAAAATACCAAACTTCAAATATGAATACAGTTTTTTAAAAATTTTTATTTAAAGATAAAAAAAGCAAAACAAAAGTAGAAAAATACAAAATTTCAAAAAAAAACAGTAAGAAATAACTAGTTAATAAATCACAGTGTCCTCTTAGAAATAGTTGTTTAAGTCACAAAATTAAAGCATACAAAGTGGACATTCAAACAGTGAGACTGCAAACAGTTCTATTCAATTGTTTCCAACAAAGACTTAGTAATATGCTTATCAATCCTACACACTTAAACATACATGCAGTTATATTCTTTAGAGCACTTTCTTTTCCTCTCTTTTTTACAATAGCAATTACACATTTTGGGTTTTATTTTATTTATTTATTTATTTTTATCGGTACTGGGGATTGAACTCACGACTGCCTGCTTGCAAGGCAGGCGCTTATGCCGCTGAGCTAAATCCCCAGCCCCACATTTTGGGGCTGGTTTTATTACTCCTACAGTTCTTATTACTTTTTACACTAGAGACACAATGAAAAAATACAAAATGTTTCATGAATTTGGGTGTCTTCCTTGCACAGAGATCTTGCTAATCTCTGTATCGTTCCTATTTTAGTATATGTACTGCTAAAGCGAGCACATGGATACACTTTTAAAGATATGAGTGGGCTATACTCTACACTAGTTTGTTTTGGGTTTTTTGTTTGTTTGTTTTTGTACTGGCAATAGAACTCATGATCTCACGCTTGCTAGGCAGGCACTTATGCCTCTGAGCTAAATCCCAGATCTCTACACTAGTTTTAAAGCCAGCTTTTTTCACTTGACAGTATGCTATGTTTACTTCACATACATGAGTAATGGTTTCACATTGACTACTTTGTATTCCACTGTACTCCATTGCTTAATCTATTTTTTCGATACCTGGGTTTCCAGGTTTTAGTTGTATTGTTTTAAGCACTGAAGATTTAACTCTAGGTCTCACACAGGAGAAGCATTCCTAGCCCTTCATTTTTAAAAATTAATTTTTTGAGACAAAGTCTAAGTTGCCTAGCATATGATTCTCTTGCCTCCACTTCCAGATTAGCTGAGATTACAGAAGTATTACACCATACCCAGTCTTAGCTGTTTCTTTAAACCATCTATTTTTTAGCATTTTGTAACATAAATTCCTAGAACTGAATTACTATGTTATGGGGTGTGCAAAATCCTAAATGTTTTTGTTGTTGTTTTGTTTTGTTTTGACGGGGCCTCACTATGTAGCTCAGCTTGGTTTTTAACTCATAATGTAGCCCAGGCTATCCTTGAATTTGCAGCGATCCTCTGCCTCAGTCTCCTGAATGCTAGGATTATATGCGTGTGACACCAGGACTGGCCTACATGTTATTTTCTAAAAATCCTTTAATGCTGGTGAGACTATGAAGTGCCTTTCCAGTGGGGTATTTTGGCACTGCCTAGTAAGATTAAGGATACACATATACTTTGAGTATTCCAATTCTAGGACTGTATCTTATAGGTGTTCTCACATATGTTCAAAGCTATTAGTTGCAGCACTATCTGTAATCAAAATTAGACCTAACCAAAATGCTGTGAGTTTAAGTAAAATGTGGTACATTGACAAAATAGTATGTAGCTGAAGAAAAGCATGAGAAAGCACACAGTGTAAGTATTTGTGGAAGGGTAACTGATGACATTGATTACCTTTAGGAAGAGGTAACTGAGGGAGAGTGGTGAGAGAATTAGAGAAAGTGTGACTTTGTGTTTCAGACCATATAAATGTATTACCGACTCTGAAAATGGATTTAAAATTTTTTAAACATCTGAAACCAAAAGCATTAAAATGAAAACTACTAAAAACTGAATTTTAGATTTTACAAGTAAGAAAACATATTTACAGAGATCAAGTGATTTGCCCATGTTCAAATGGCTAAGTTCTCCGTGACTGTGCTTCTGACTACTGTGGAAAATCCCAGACCCCATGAGTGTTCCTGGACCACTGCACAAGTGGAGGAAGATACACTGTGGGCAGGAATGCAAGCTGACATAACCGCTGTGCAAAACTTCTGAAAATGTTTTGTTTTGTTTTGTGCACTGAGTATTAAACCCAGAGCCTTGTGCACGCTATGCAAGCACTCTGTAATCTACCACGAGGTACACTCCAGCCCTTGTACTTTTTAAGAAACTCAAACATATGACCCAGCCACTCATCTCTCAGTGCTGACCCACAAATGCAGTTTTATTATCCACACTTCTATTAACCAGTGAATGGATAAATTCATTTTTGCATATCTACACAAAGGAATACAGCTCCATAATAAAAAGTAAAAGTAATAATGCATTTAACAATCTAGATGAATCTCAAAATAGTGATGCTGGGTGAAAGAGGCCAGACCAAGAAGAGAATACAGACTTTATGGTTCTTATGTACAATTCTAGAAAATATATTCAATTCTAGAAACTATAGTCATAGAAAACAAATCCATGGTTCCCTGGAAACTAGGGGAGGGGCATGGGGTGCAGGGTGAGTTGGGGAAGAAATGCGCGAGGAGCCTGAGGAACCTTGGTGGGTGGATGTATTCATCAGTGCTGCAGCGTGGACCAGAATGTAGAAAGAGCCGTGGCTTGCGGCCTGGATCCATGGGGAGATGGAGGAAACTTTGGAGGTGGAGGCTACTCACAGGAGGACATGCCCTCTAGGGGTCTGTGATGCGGTCCCTTCCTACATCTTTTGCTTCCTAGGAACTGTGCAGTCGACAGGCCTCTGCCACCACATACTGTGGTACCACAGGCCAGAGGTGACAGGCTAAGCCGTTGACTAAAACCTCTAAAACTGTGACCTGAAAGAAACCTTTTTTTAAAAACAAATTATGTTTATAATATTAGGAAATGAATTTAGTGCACCATCTCAACCCTATTTTAAAATTTTGAGGCAGAATGTTGCTGAGTTGCCCAGGTAGAACTGAAACTTGTGATCCTACCTCAGTCTCCCAGAGTGGTGGGATCACAGGTGTGTACCACCACACCCGGCAAATTAGTGATTTTTTTAAAATTTTTTGGATGTAATGAAAGAATTCTCAACCGGCCTGCCGCCCTGGTAAGTGGCTGTGGCTCAGGCAAGCCACAGCTGCCTGAGGGCAAGAACCACCCTGCATCTCCCGAGATCCGTTAGGGCACTGGGAAACCAAGCAACCAGCCTGCCTCCCTGGTAAGCAGCCTTGAGCCTACCGGCCCCCCTCCCCACCATTAGTAAATGGGAGCCAGAGATCTGAGCATCTCTTGGGAGACTGACCATATGCAAAATAGCAAATAAGGGGGATTTCCTTCTACCGTCTCTTTGAAGGCAAATATTTTTATCAGTTTTGCTTTGTTCTGATTAATGGTACTGCTCTATTCAATATTCAGTTTTGATAAGTTTTATAATGTTCTGTTTTTTGTTTGATCTTGCTATACGTGGTTGAAAGAACAATTATTGTAAAGATAATGAATATACTACAGCACATATTACTATTATCCCTGTAACCTGCTGTGAAGTTCTTTTTTTTTTTTTTTTTTCCTTTTTTTTTTTTGGTACCGGGGATCGAACTCACGACCGCCTGCTTGCAAGGCAGGTGCTTATGCCGCTGAGCTAAATCCCCAGCCCCTTGCTGTGAAGTTCTGTACCAGTTTCACTGCGCTGTCTCAATTGGCTTTGTTCCATCTTGTTTTGTTGTGTTTTACTACCTTCAAAATAGTAAAAAAAAAATTTTTAAAAGAATTCTGTTTTTCCCTATTTAGGGATATTAAGATCTTTTTTATGTTTCCTTTATCCAACCAAAAAAAAGTTAAGATTGTTCCTAACATTGGAAAGCAGGGAGGATGATAGGACCCAAATAATATTTTTCAGTGTTGAATATAGATAAAACACCTATTCTTCATTAATTACCTCAGCTTATTTGTGTATTCCCTTCTCCTTCAGTGTCTATTTGTAACATGGATGCAATTAGAAAGCTTTACTGTAAAGCTTAAGATAGTCACGCTTGGGTATGGCTTTTGTTTCTTGTTACTGCAGTGCATACCCTCCTGTATTTATGTGATTAGTTTAGTATCCAGAATTCCTGCTTCAGAGTCTTAATACTCTCTCTGATTCAGTATGTTCAATCCCCTCTCCTCTTGCTTTTGCTCCCTCTAGCTTGTCCTTGAGACTTCTCAGGTCTTTCGTTTACCTTTTCCTCTACAGATTCTGAGTATCTTATTACTACTAAGCTACAGCCATAAGAGCTAAGAACATCTCTGGTGTCTAAAACAGATCGGCTAATAATAAAAGGACTTTCCATGGAGAAATTAGTTCTGTTTTTTAATCTGTTTTGTTTCGCTTTATTTTTTACAATCACTGACTCATTCAACAAATACCAGTGGAGGACTGGGGATTTAGCTCAGTGGCTTAAGTGCCTGCCTGGTTGTGAGTTCAATCCCCAATACAACCAAAACAAAACAAACAAAACAAAAACAAATACCAATGGAGTGCTTTCTGAATGTCATGTACTGCTCAGGGAGAGTAGGGTTTTAGCACAGGGGAATCGATGTGCCAACACACGTCAAATTAAAGGGCTACCTAGTTCCTCAAGAAGTTCAGTCAAATTGATAAAGTTTCTAGTCAGCTTGATCAGGAAATGAGGAAGACACAAATTACCAATATCAGCAACGAAGGAGGTAACACAGTACAGATTATTGCTTATAAAAAGAGACTCAAGGAGTATCACAAACATCTTTATGCCACTGCTTGCAGAAAAAAAAAATTCCTCAAAAGACACAGACACAACTGGTTTAATATTAAAATGAGTAATCAGTGCAGCTCACTATGTTAATAAAAAAATTCTTGTGAGTTGACAAAATCCAACATCTGTTTCTGATACAAACTCTCTTTTAAAGTGAGCACAAACAGAACTACAGTTCCTCAGGCTATTAAAGGGATGCTATGCAAAGCCTACAGCTAACATCACACTCAGTGACTGAAGACTGAATCCTTTCTCCCAGGATTCAGAATGAGGCAAGAAACTACTTTCATACTGGTATTTGACCTTGAATTAGAAATTCTAGCCTGCGCATTCAAATAAGAAAAGAAAATCTCTTCTGAGTTGCTCTAGTGTGGTAAAAAAAAAAAGGAAATCTCAGGTATTCAGAGTGGTGAATTTAGCAATACTGCAGATTAGAGGTTAATAGAAAAAATTGTTTTCTGTGCACCAATAGTTGGCAATTGAAAAATTTAAAATACCATTTACAGCGGCATAAAAATATGAAATATGTGGGACGAATCTGACATTGTGAACAATCTTTGCACTGCAAACTACACAGTATAGTGGAAACAACCCATGTAGGCCAGATCCATGTAGGCATGGATCAAAAAATGTTGAGAATGTGTTTACTTCATGCTATGGCTTAAATGTGTCCCTCAAAAGTTCATGTGTTAGAAATGTCACCTTTAACTTCACAGACGAATGGTATCTGGAGACAAGGCCTTGAGGTAGAATTAGGACGAGACAAGGTTAGGAGGACCAGACCCCCATGACTGCGGTGGTGGCTCTGTTGAAGAGGAGAGGCTGGGGCCGCCATGCTTGCTGTATGAGAGCATCGCCATGGTATGAATGTCTACAAAGCTGTTTTCAG